CGCCTGGTGTGGTCCGGCATCGTGCTACTACAGAGAGAGATATATATGTATATACATATATGTATATATATATATATATCGCCAGGGACCACCTGGTAGTACTTGGTAGTGATACAACATAGCCAGCCGACGGCTCCGACCAAATCCCCCGTTCGTCGCTCAAAGTACATACGAAAACAATATATCCAATGCATCATGTAGATAGGTAGATATACAACAGATCCAACCCAACATGTTATATTCCACATCGTGGACACGCCCCGTAGCATTCCTTGTAGGTATCCTCGACCTAGCCCACCGACGGCGCCTCTCATGCAGGTTCGCACGCAGAACGGGCCGGCAGATCCACAGATCGATCTCTCCACATGGCCATGCATCGACACCTCGGACCGTTAACCGGCGTGACTGGCGGGTGGGCGGAGGAGTGGAAGGGCACAGGAGTGGGTGTTGGCGCCGCGGGCGGCCGAGTGCGGTTTGCGAAAACGAGCACAACGGGCGTACCGGGCCGCGAGGATGGACAAAATGCCTAAGTCCCATACAGGAGGTCCGACCAAAGCGGCCAGAGATGTTTTTTCAAATGTTGCACGTCGTGGGCATGGTTTGTGTTGTCCAGTCATTCGCAATCGCAAGTATCTTCAAACGGATGTGAGGACAAAGAACACCTCTGTCAGATCGATAACTCAGGAAAAGACAGCGGGCAGCAGATATTGGTCTAACGCTCGGCTAGGATGCTTGAATGCGCGGATTGCAACCGGCGTTCCCCTGTAAAGATGTCTTAACAGACAAAGGGCAAAGGGCACTTGCATGGAGCCAGTCCCGGTCGTTAACTTTGAGCTGATAGAGGTTGCTGTCATGGTACTATGACGACTGGGAAGGAAAATCACCGATACATGCTTGTTTAGCTGGTGACTATTGAAGTAGACGGCTTAAAGACGGTATAGACCGTGTTTAGCTTTGTCAACATCTCATCCCACTCGCCTTGGGCTGTGCTTAAGATCGTGACAGCTCCACCAGCTCCAATTCGCCATTTTTGTTCGCGAGCGTTATCGATGGATGAGCTGAATGCCGTGCGGATAAGTACTGAGAAGCTGCCACCTCCCCCAAGATCCAGGAATCCCATGACACCAGAGTACACTCCGCGCCTACGAGACTCGATAGAGGAAAGATGCATGCAAGAACGTTCCTTCGGGGCACCAGTCATAGAGCCTGGTGGAAGGCATCTCTGCAGAGCCGTAAGCCCGTATGCTGACATATTCGCTGACAGCAGTTCTGGAATGTCCCGTGCAGCGAACCCAGGCCGAGTCGGATCAACCTGGCCTTTGACATGTGTGATCATCGAATACACATGCCCATAATCCTCGACCTCGAGAAGCTTTTCGACATATACGCCACCTGAACCACAGATACCATAGAGATCATGCCGAATAAGATCTGCAATCATGAGGTTTTCAGCGGTTTCCTTGGTCGAGCTGAGAATCTTTTGGGCCATTCCAAGCGTCATATTGTCCGTTTTCCTCACGGTACCTTTCATGGGTTTCATTTCGAGAAGAGACTCCCGGTCCCAATTGAGGAAGCATTCAGGGCTGCTGCTTAGAACTTTAACTTTTCCTAATTTTGCATAAGCACTGAACGACGCGGGATTGTACTTTTGAAGGCGCTTATACAACAGCCAAGGGAAGTTCATGCTATCACAATCTGGTTCAGAGAAAGGCACTGTGATTACTGTTTCACAAGTAAGGCACAGTTCGTATGATTCACCGGCGTGCAGTTCGGCGGTACAAGCATCAAACTGTTCTTTGTAGCGTTGTTCACCGGGAAATTGTGCCGCGGATCGACTGAGTATAGAATCCAGGGCTACTGTATTAGTTGTAATACTGTCGACATTGTCGGCGGCAGGATGAGATGATATATCTTGTAGAAGTCGCATTGTTTCATCAAGCCATCCGGCCGGCTGATTATCAGCTTCCCGGGTAGATTGTACAGTAACACGACCAGACTCATGGTCGAGGACCACGCTTCGTTCGGTCCAAAGTAGACTCGCATCCACTGGATCTTCCGAATCCTCTACCGAGATGTTGTGACTGTGGTCTTTTGGGTGAGGAAGGCAAGCGAGCCCCATTTCATATGAAAAGTACCCGAGGAATCCTGCCCAAAACGGGACATCCCGACTGCCTGATTCAACCTTCTTCAGGTCCATCAAGTACCGAAGGACATCCCAAAATTGGCTGGTCGACAAGGGCGTGTTAATCACAGAATGCCCTTCTAAGGTATCCTCGCAATGAAGATTCTCCAAAAAGAGCCTTTCAGTCTGCGCGAAGAACTCTAACCTCCAGCTGCCAGGACTAAGCACGGATATGATGCTGTGTCGGCCGTTGGATTTGAACAACACCGTCGGAGAACCGGGACTATTAAGAGTCTCGCAGATTAATGCCGAATCCAGCGGTTTAGCGTAGAACTGTCGGAAGGAGGAAGATCTTGAAGTAGATGTGCACCAGGTCGACATGGTATGCACAATGTTCGGTAAAGAAGCTATATCATCCGATTCTTGGAGGCAGGTGCTTATCACTTTCGGGAAACTGCCCCGTCCACTCGTTTTGTTGTAGTAGAGAGTCATCTCCCACCATTTCCTCAGCATTTGTCTGCATGCTTCCCTGTCCGACTTGCAGGATTCTGGATGAAACTGAACACCCCAGAAGGGTCTATTCTTATGGCGGACAGCCATTGGAAGTTGGGTCAGCTGAATCGAATCGGTAGAGACCTGTTCCTCCAAGGGTAGCCATGCCAGAACATCAAGCTCTTGTGCTGCGAATATGTCTGATCTTTTATCGCTGCGGTCGTTCTGGACTATGTCTAGCTGGGCGTATAAAGAGTGGTACAGTGTGACCTCCAGATCTGGTACGCCATCGAATATATCTTCATCGGAAGTTTGAACCCTGCGAACTTGGCCATGGAGCGGATACGGTAGCCGGTGAATGGGAACACCGTGACGAAGGCATAAGCTCTGAAAACCGAGACAGATTCCGAGGACTGGAAGCACATCTGCGGCGCTCAGACTCCAGATATCCTCCATAATTCCCACATCATCCGGTATATGTGGATCACCGGGGCCCGGCCCAAGAACAACGGCTTCGAAATGTTTAAGAAACTCAGCAGCGTTCCCATCTGGCCATGTTGAGTCAATATGCATGATCGTGACTTTCACATCCAACACTTCCTCAAGCATGGCGACAACATTGTAGGAGAAAGAGTCGTACGCGTCGACATAGAGAACGTTCTTTGAAGGTGTCATCTCGTGGCCATTTCGTCGGGAAGGTAAGGGCGCATCATGGCCCAGTAATGGGGCCATGTCTCGGGGTAAGACGGAAGGGAAAGGATATGTCGTGATGTTGTGCTAGCGAGCGAGGAAGAAAGAGTATTACAAGGACTAATATAGAGTCGGATACATGAGGAACGAGGTTAGATCAAGGTGTAGACTTCCGTATGGAGATCCTGACGGCGCCTCCGACAGCATTAACGGGCGAACGCCTAAATCAACGCGATGCCGGCGGGTATTATAATGGGAGGGCGTCGCAGTACGTGTGCAAAAGGGGTAGAATGGCTCTACTTTTCGGGGTCAAACGGAACCCGGATTCGATGCAGTTGTAATGTCTGCGTTTGCGAGGCCGCAGGGGCCCAGTATAGGTATTCGGTGTCAGGGTTGGTGTTGCTCGCTGACGTCTTCCTCGTGGTTGTTGGTGTTTCTTATAAGCCAATCGCCCCACCCGATTCAGCTCGTTTCTTCGAGCTAAGGTAAAGATGCTGCGGAAGGGCGCGCTAGATCGAACTTTAGGGTGGTGAGGAAGCAAAGATAAAGAAGCGTCGAGAGGCACGCCCCTCGTACCGGGTCGAAGGCAACAAGGTTGCAGACTCTGAGGCGGCGAAATGCGGGATCGGACCGGAACAACAGATAATCCGGCTCGCATCTGCTGCCAAGAGGGCCGTTCGGAGGTAAGTACGGAGTAGTATCATTATTACCACCCCACTTTCTACAATAGAACACTGTCCGGCTTCCTCCGTGTGAGTTACCTCTTACCTTGATAATACCTTCACCTTCTTCACCCTTTTTTATCTTCTTTGTCTTCTCCGTCTTCTGTGTCCTTTCCATCAGTCTCATAACATCGCTTTATCTTCTTCCCTTCTTCATCTTCTTTACCTTCTGTGTTATTTCTATCAGTCTGATATCATTTCGTTAATACCTTCATTACCTCTACTAGCTTTTAGCTTTTAGCTTTAGCAAAATGGAGCCTGCACTGGATCTCATCCCCCGCCCCCCTCCTCTTCTACTGCAAGTAAATGGTACAGTTCTTCCGGATACTGGAATCACCACTTATGCTCTTTGATTGCTTCAGCAACCCTGAGATGAAACCAAGCTAAGCCAAATATAGCATGGTGTAAACTGTGAGAGCCGATCAAATATGTCTTATTTGGTGCATCTAGACTAGAATATCGAACATGAGGAGGGAAAGAAGGAAGTGTGGGATAACACATGTAAACAACAAAGATAAGCAAATAAAGCGAAACAAACAAAGCAAACAGAACTACGTTATATAACCCAGTCACATATCTCTGAATGCTGCTCGCCATCACATCACTCCCTTTATTAAGACTGGCTGCTCTCAGCTAGCGGGATATCGTCATCCTCGTAATCCAACGCAAACTCGTCGGCCTCGGCCGCGGCGAGCCACTGCGGCAGTCGTTTAGGGGGACCAGGACGGGTGGGATTTGTAAAAGGAGATCACGTGATCTCGGACCTAGCCACCTAGTCACCTCGCGTAGTTAGCTAGCTAGCACACATACACAATATTATTCATATTGCTGTCACAGGTTATGAGCCCTCGTGGCAACGAATCATCAAATATTTGTCTTCCCTATCGTTTTTTCATCGTTTTTACGCGTTGTCCATCGAATAGCGTCCTCCTCAAGGCTTTTTACGCCTCAAATCGCTACTATACGCGGTTTCGCGGGTAGGAACGCCTCCGCGGCGCACTAGTCAGCTTGGCAACCAGGCTTGGCATCTACCCACCAACCAGACCTCCCACCACGTGAGCGGTGTGGCCGAACGCTTACAATGACGCCGTCCAAAGACCCGTTCGATATCGACGTCTCTAAAGCTGTTCCTAAGCTTAAAGGCCAGGCTAACTGGTTAATATGGCAAAGGAACCTACGAAACTACCTACGCTCGCGTAATTCGGACGCGTGGGACCTGCTTCAGGGCAAATATACTCTTCCAGAAGAACCAGTTCTTTATCCCGAGGATGAAGACGAAAACATGCGTATACTGGCTGTTCGTGCCGGTGATGGTGGCGCTCTACCCACTGAACAAGAACTGCAACGCAGCATTGAGCAGGCTAAATAACGCAACTGTACTTTGCTCACCATATATAACTCTGACTATAAGAAGTGGAAGCAGCTGAATTATTCCATACTCGTAGTTCTCGGTACTACGTGCGAAGCCAGTCCCGCGGCGCGTTTCCAGAACTGCGACTCTGTGCTTAAAGCATATGTCCTTCTCCAGGAAGCATATGAGACCTCTAACTTTGCTACAGTTGTTCGTTTATATAATAAATGGGCATTTATTTGTTATAAGAGCACAAGCAGTCAAGAGATCTTTCTTACACGCTATGCGGACGCCCTCAACGAGCTTCACGGCACCAAGATCATTAATGATCATACTGAACTCCTGCAGTTCTTTACAGCAATTCAGGATGTGCCTGCCTTGCAGCCGCGGACGTAGGCGTGGCTGTGGACGCGGTGATGCCCGTGGTCATGATAGAGATTAAAAATACCTCCGTACAGTATGAAAGAGAGCAACTTGATGCTGCTGATAAGAATACTATATAGTATACCTTCTACGAACGTTAAGGAAATCACTTTTCCAGCAAGTGCTTGTTGAACCTGAACAAGAAAACGACTGCAAGCACCCAGATTAACATAGTAACTACATCTACTCCGTCCGCACCACCATCCGGAACGCCGTCAGCCAACGCGATCAACATCAATTTCAACTTTCTCAATGCCTATGCTGTATCAGTTCGCTTCAATGCTGCTACTGTGGCTCAAGAAGACCAACACCCGAACCACTCGCATGATTGGATGCTTGACTCTGGGACTGTTAAAACAATAACTTACTTTAAGCATTACTTCACATCCTTTACTTCCTGCGTACGTACAGCCAAACCCGCTACTGATGAGGCCTTTCAGACTGTTGGCTACAGCACTATTTCAATCGAATTCGTGGATGAGCAGAACAGACCTTGTAGACTTTTAGAGATTGACTGCGCTTGGTACATGCCGGTGCTCTCACATAATCTCATTTTGTGTAAGCAGCTGGCGCGCCAGGGTGTTCGTATATATATCAAGACCGAAGAGACTACTATTCTTATTCAACACGCCAAGCAGATTGGCTTCGCTACTGCTAAAGATACTTAATATTTTCTACATACAACCAGTACTACAAGCCGCAAGGCGATTCAGGGTCTGTATCTCTACGGTGCCCTAATACACTCGCCACCCTCTGATCTTACTGTCAATACTGTCAAAAAGACAGTTTTTCTACTAATTTCAATCTATCTCGCGCATCGTCGTACGGCTCATGCCTCCGAACGAAAGATTCATGACTCTGTTAAGCATGTTATTGGTTTTGATATTAAGAAAGATATCTTACCAGCGCCCTGCAAACCCTACCTCCGTGGAAAGGGTCAAGTATTATCTGTCTCCCATACTGAGCCTCGCGACCTTGGTCTACGCGTTGGAAATCTTATTTATACAGATATCTGTAGACTGCTATCTACACGCGGCCGGACCGGTGTATATTACTTCATTATCTTTACTGACCATGCCTCCCGATACTGCTGGATATTCCTACTCAAGGAACACAGTAAGATGCGTGATAAGTTTATTACTTTATAGAACTATCTTATATACCAGTTAAATATCAAAATTAAATGTGTTTATAGTGACAACGCATCTGAATACTAACCGCTTGTATCCTACTGTCAAGAATAGGGCATCGTCTGGGATCCTGCTCCGTGATACCGCTCGAATCTCAATCTAATTACCGAGATTAAGAATCATCATCTAGTTAAATCCTGTATATCAGTTATGGCGGATAATCAGTTGCCCTATTTCCTATGGAATCATACCATCCTCGCAGTCAACTACATACAGAATAGACTCGTACACAGTGCCATCGGGAAGACTCCCTATGAAGCCCTGTACGGCGTGCAACCAGATATCTCACGGTGGAAGGCCCTTGGCTGCCGCTGCTGGCATCTTACTCCCAAAAAGACTCGTGATAAGCTGGAAGATCACATGCAGGAAGGCCGCTTCGTCGGCTACTCTGAGTCAGTCTACAAGATCTACGATATCCGAACTCGTCAGATTATGTACGCTCGTGATGTTATCTTTAACGAAGAACCTGTCTCACAATTACCATCCGCGACGTCTACATACGATCTTGATTCCGCACGCCACGGCGAAGCCAACACAGAAGCTCCGGTCCAGGAAGATCCTCGCCGCTGGTCACCGTTTGATATACCTTCTCAACATCAGCAGCCTGTCCCTGTCCCTTTTCCTAGTTATCCTGCCGCAGACGAGCAGGATAGCAGCGAGGAGCCGGACTGGCTACTAGAATACAAACAGACTGGTGTACTCCCACCTTTGCCTGCAATTAATGACACCGTCCGTAACGCCACGCCTGAACCGGCAGTTGTCGTTGAAGATAACGAGTCTGAAGACCAGCTAGTTGCTGCGGATCCTCCGGCTATCAGTACCTCCCGTACGGAACCCGCACCGGTGTCTGAACAGCCACTGCGTCGCTCTACACGCACTCGCAGGCCTTCGCGCGCGCTCCTCGAGTCTTTGGAGTCACACACTATTAGTGTAAATGATGACCCGGACTTGAACACCGACGCCTTTTACAAATTACTCATTGACAACCATCTTACTAACGCTCTGTTTCTGGAAACTGCGGCTACACAGCCTCCTGCCAGCCCGCAAGCTGGGGGGGCCACCTCCACCAAGGAACCAACATCTCAAGATACCGGCTACACTCCTACCTCGTACGCTGACGCTATGGCCTGTGCTGAAGCATCCAAATGGCGCGAAGCAGTGCATCGCGAGATGCGGGAACAGATCAAACAAGGCACCTTCCGCGTGGTTCCACGTCCCCGCAATACGCGTCTTCTTCCGCTCAAATGGGTGTTTAAAATTAAGCATGACGGCACTTACAAGGCCCGTCTTGTTGTCAAAGGCTTCCGGCAGCGTGCTGGTAAAGACTATCAGATTGGAGAAATATACGCGGCCGTCGCCAAGAGCGTCAGCTTCAAGACTTTTATTGCCCTGGCTGCTAAGCTTCATTGGATCTTACATCATCTTGACGTCGCCACAGCATTTCTCAACGCTGAACTACGCGAATCAATACACATCGAGCTGCCGGACGGCTTCCAGGAAAACGGCATGTGCGGCGAGCTCGTCAAGTCGCTATATGGCTTAAAACAGGCGCCACGCGAGTGGTACAATATGCTTCATGACTTCCTAGTGGCTAACGGCTTTAAGTGCTTACATGCAGATCACTCTGTGTTCGCAGGAAAAGGCCTTTTCATACTTGTTTACGTCGACGATATCCTTCTACTCGCGCCGGACGGCACTGTGGTTGACGCCTTTAAAACACTGCTTGCCAAGCTTGTTAAGTTCACTGATAACGGCCCCTGCACCCGCTTCCTAGGTGTTGATATTATACAAACAGATGAAGGCATTTATCTCTCGCAGAAATCATACATACAAGACTGTCTAAAGCGCTTTGGTCTTTCTACCTGCAAGACTTCTCCCATACCATACAACTCTAAGAATCCTTTGTCAAAATACAACGGAACAGCTGATCCTGATGACATCAAAGTATATCAGGAACGCAATGGCGCGCTCATCTGGATCATGGTTAACACACGTCCTGATATTGCGTACGCAACAAGTAAGCTATCGTCTTTTGCAAGCAACCCCGCCAAGCCACACCTTCAGGCAATGAACCTCGTCTGGCGTTATCTCACTGGCTCCCTCGACCGCTGCCCCTTCTACCGTCGTGGCGGACCTGGCCTCGTTGGCTTTTGTGATGCTAATTGGGCCGGCCCCCACTCCCTTAACGCGACGTCGACCTCCGGCTACGTATTCCAACTCGCTGGGGGGCCCATTTCATGGAGTTCAAAGAAACAGACTGCTATCGCATTATCTTCAACCGAAAGCGAATATATCGCGCAAGCAGTGGCGACGCAGGAGTTAATCTGGCTCCAACTACTGTTTACTGAGCTGGATATTCAACGCTCCAAAGCTACATCTGTTTTGATGAGTCGTCCCACTATTATTCATGCAGACAACCAGTCCGCTATCGCTCTGACTAAGAACCCCGAGTTCCACGCCCGCACGAAGCACGTCTCCATCAAATGGCACTTCATACGTCGTGAAGTACGCGCTAAAAATGTTGAATTCGTCTACATTAGTACAATCGAACAAGCGGCCGACGGCCTCACTAAGCCGCTTGAACGTCTCGCCTACTCCCGCTTCATCAAGCAACTCGGTATGGTGGATCGTGGTTGAACTCGCATCTAATATTTCTGTATCTACATGTCTTTTACTTCCCGTTTAGGAAACGTGAACAACCTCACGTCTTCCCCTTTTGTACGTAACGTTGCTGACTACGTCCTCGCTCATGGGGGGTGTGAAAGGAGATCACGTGATCTCGGACCTAGCCACCTAGTCACCTCCTCGCGTAGTTAGCTAGCTAGCACACACACTCAATATCATCCATATTGCTGTCACATATATTATCTCTATTATTGAGGCATGATACTACGTACGAGTCCGCGAGCGTATAATCAAGACTAGGTTGAGTAGTTGGGGTGTTAGCAAGCGCGATTATACAGCTACTACTGATTCTTTTCTATACAGCCGAATCAAGAAGTTGTTCTTTAAGAGATACCTCTCTAATACAGGGATTCTATATACTGTATAGAATAAAAATTATACTATTTCTTTATAACTACTTCAATAAATCTGTACAGAGTAAGGCCTCGTCTGACGAACAGATAATTCTAATAAATATCAGCTCTAGAATAATATAGTTACAAAGCACCTGCTTGAAATATATAATAAAAAAATTATTAAAGACTACAGATGAGAGCTTTTATTTATCTATATATATAATAAATATCTTATTATTCTAAGATCTATACAGAGAGCAGTTATATATTAATATCTTATCTCATTAACTGAGGTCCTGCCAGATATCAGTTATATAATATTTACTAAATAATTGCATCCGAGGCTATACAACAACAGAAGAATGACATGCAGCGAAATCATGGCTTATATATAGTCCCTGGACCAGATCATATCTGGTCCGTGGATAGTTATATAAAGCTAGATCCGTACGGCATCCAAATCTACGCGGCCATTGACGCGTACTCTTGCTATATCATCTGGATCTATATTAGCATTGATACTCGTACGTACAGCTTTAAATAAATAGATATGTTAGATAAGCTACATGATCCAATCAGCTACATACTAATTCTGCCGGCAGTAAACACCAAAAAAATGCATTTGCCCGATGGCCGCTATTAACCGCCGTAGGGCTATTGGTTAGTAAGCCGGCAACCAAGGATTTCTAAAACAACAAAAGAGTGTCTGGGGGGCAGGCTCGTTTCGCAGATCACTGTATTCGCTCTGGCGATGGCAATGGCTCCATGAAGCAGGGAATGGGCGGCCATCACCCGCGCAAACCAGCGATGCGACCACGCAACAGTAGAGCGGCTGATTCCGAGCAGATGGGCCGGGAGGCCAAAGGTCAGGCCCGTACCGAGCGGCAATAGGTTCAGGACGGCGAGCTTCGCCGCACGTTGCTGGACGTCGGCCCAGCCATGGGCGGAGACGAGTAGAAGGACAATGTTGGCGCCCAAGAGCACCCCAACTAAGATCGCCGCGAGAGTGGTGGCGATGTCAATAGTCTGGAGAAGCCACGGCAACTCGCGGCCGAAACACCGTCCAAGGGACGCCTCGATGTGTCGTTGGACAGTACACCGACCAAGCTGGTACGCCAACCGCGCGATCAGCCAGACGCCCAGCAGGGCAGCAACCCATATCCCATACCAGTCAACGGAAAAACTTTGGCTGGCCTTTTCATACTGGTCTGAGAGGGCTGGAGGCATTGTCTCTGGGGAAGCGGAAGTTGGATCTGGCAAATGGGAGATGGGAGATGTTGGCTTATAAGCATTTTCACGGCGTCGGCCGTGGGCCACCGGGACAGCTAGATGCTACATACTTTCATTCTTGATGGTTGAGCTCCGCGGCCCTCCTGTTGTAGTTCGAGATGGTGAAATGGTCAAATATATGGCCGGCACGTGCATTTACCCGTGCAACAACGAGGTTCAGTATGGAAAACGCAGGGTCCTATTACCCCTTCCAATCCCATGCCCAGGAATCACAAATAAGAGGTGCATGGAAGATAATCTATAGGAGCAGTAAATGGATATTAAGCGAGCTTCTGCTTCTGTCCGACAGGTTTAATTTTGACGGCCTTTTCACCATGGTGGCTTATAGAAAATCACCACTTCATCTTACTCTAGCTCTACATTATGCTGACAAAGGTTATAATGTAAAAATGGGATTGTGTCCAACCGCCACGTATGCCGTTCTATAGTACAGAAGCATCGCTTGAACTCGAATGAGCTGTGGGAGCAAGCCAGTAATTCTGCAGACCCTTGTACGGAAAACTTCAGACACTCCACTGCGGAGCGAATATATGAAGTGCAAATAAAGTAAAATAAAATACAGTCTCCCCGAAGTCCGTGCAGTTATGCGTTCAGGGATAGACAATTTGTTGTAACAAGAGTTCAAAGGCAAAACTCCAGCCGGCTGATCACACAGAATGTTTCCACGGGATCCAATTCAGGGATACAGTATTAGGAGCGCCTGCCCCCACGAAACTGTCCTGTGCGACGAGATGATTTGCATTTGTGGCAACTAAATATGAAGCAAACGTCCGCGATTCATTCACTGCTGTTGTATTCGTTCATTGACATATTACAGTAATACATAGTAAAATGTGAACCAGTTGTAAAAAAGCATCAACCTATCATGAACGACATTGTATCATAATTCAAAAACATATAGACAAGCACATTTCTGCGTTCCTACTACGCAAACGGTTCCCGTTTCTTGTGAGCATTGAAGCCGGATACCGAGGTCGAGTGACGATGCTCGACCTGGCCTTCCGGCGCCGTGACATGACACGATGACTCCTGTCTGTTGGCACCATTGCTGCGGAAACAGGCGCCAGTGGATCCCAGGGACGCGGTAGCATTGGAGACTCAGCCGGGAGCGCCAAGCTGCCGTCCTCAACATGCTGCAAGCGAGAAAATCTTGGGAAGCTCGGTGGCGCAGTTTTAGGATAGAAGAGAGCCCGAGTGCATCAGACGAGGGAAAAGGCTCCGGTGGATCAAAGGAGAGACTTGGATTATAGAGCACTTGGGAGCCGTCTCCCCAGAAGTGCGTGATCCCGCTTCTAGTCGGATACTGAGGCTGTTCAGCCTCGCCTCCAAAGGACCACCCTGCCGCCTGCGGTGCAGGAATAGACGGATGTGAGAAACCGTCGGTCTCGGAGCCGGTCAGATATTCGGATTGAGACCAGGTCCAACCCCAGAAAGATGCGGGCAATGTCTCCCACGAGTATGGCTCACTAGCCCACGGCATCAAGTGCCATGGATCTGCCGTAGGGTTCCCGGTCGAGTGGTTTGCGGACATAAACGAGTTGGGGAGTGTGGTCGCGCTAGATGGGGGTCCCCAGCCTGCATTGTCGCCAATTTGGTATGGGAGAGTGCTGTTCCCATCATCTCTAATCTCATTCCATTCTCCACGAACAGTAACGTCTGCAGGACACGTAGTGGGTGAGCCACGTTCAGTACCACTGTCTTTTGGGGTGGCGACATCTGAAGCGCGGCCCATATCGGACACGCTCCATCGGTGTCCCTCCATGGATGCGCTGGCGTGAGCCTCATACGTTCTTGAGGTGTCACTAGAGGGCTGATCTGGATAAACCCTGCTGACTGGCGACTTCTCTGTGCGTGGTTCAGTAGACATCATAGTACGATGGTTGACGCTCTGTCGATCTGACCGAGGAACGCAAGTACTTCCGCTTCCCTGGCACGCTTCGCAGGGCCAGGGTCGAGAACACTAATAGCCCGCTATGTTAGTCAAAAGCACTGTCGACCAACAATTTTTCATGAGTCCCAGTTCCTTGTGGCTTCGCGTACCTTGATTTTCCGACGAAAACATCTCTCACAAGCTGGGTGCCTCTTGCCCTGCTACCTCCCCATCAGATAATGCTCAGTTAGTGAACGGTGGCTGCCACAATGGATGTTGAGGATAGTAGAATGTGGATATACCTTGGTAGACATTGCCATCCAATTCCATCGATGAACGCAATTACTTCCACTTCTTCGGCATGCCTCGCAGGGCCAGATGCGAGAACTCTATTAGCTTAAAGGACAGACTCGCCACTCAGGAGGGTAAGGAAGTATCTTCTGGATCTTTATAGTTTAGCTAGAAATATCCTTGCCAGTTCCCGGAATAGCTTGCTTTTTTTTTTCTAAGCCTCATTAATGAGTAGATCATTACATATTAATAAGAAAGATACCAGTAGCCTACTTTGCAGATGTATCTACTAAGTATATACTAGTATGATATTAGCTCCCCACGCATGAATCAAATTTCCAAAATTTGTGTAATTACTACACCCCCTAAGGGACCTCATGCTCTATATACATAGTAAGAGTAAGATTTATGCCAGCCGGCGGATCCCCGCTAAACAGTGGGCCCGTGTGGAGGCAGAGTTTACCAGAATCCCAGAGACATGCGGCTATCTTGATCAGCGGAGCTTTCAAAAGCACAGCCGCAGCTGCGCTTGACGTTGAACTCCACTTACCACCCATGAGATAGCTTATACTCTCGGCTACATGGGCGATCAGATGGCTCGAGATACGTGCCAGAGGGAAGAAACGTGCAGCCAGAGGGAGAATGATGAGGTGGTCTCGGGTCACGTGACCGCCACCATTCACAGGGTATTGCAGCCACCCTACGGCCCTGGGTTACTACGTCCAGGGACATGGGTTATTTACCACAAGCGGTAGTGGTTCCCAGTCAAGGGCTCATAATGAGGCCTTTGTAATGATGCCAATAGTTGGCAAAAGAAGCCATGTATTAGAAAAGACCCACGCGCATCGACCACTGTACCAGGTGGAAAGAAGTGCAGTAGAAATAAGGAAACGCGTTGTGTCTGAGATGAGCTTATCCTCCTTCCATTATTACTTCTACTTTGGATTTTGATTTGACGGATACGGCTTTAGTCGCTCTCTGCCTCGACCAGGCTGCTTGGGGACAACAGTCCTAGGGTACTTAAATTGGGGAGCTGAACCCTGGAAAGTCCAAGATAATATAACGAAAGCTTACATTAGTCTTGTCCTAACCCGGTCCACATGACCCTACGCAATCGGCAGCGGTATCCTTATCATATCACGTTCTCAGAGCCTCTAGATTGTGGGGCGCAGAGATTGGTGCTGAGCGCCCGTTACACCCCACAGATAAGGGAAGAAGCACCATACAGAACTCTGCTACTTAGCACACACTCCCCTTACCTTTTGTCTTCGACTACGCGAGTATGATATTTAAATGAGCTTTACAATAATGCACAACATAATCTGTCTATAGGCGATCGTGCATAAAACTCTGACCATCGCAACGAAATCGATTGACCTTCTTCAGGAGTATAGATGAGCTTAAGAGAGCCCGAAGGCTAGATGGGTAACAAATTGGCTTGTTCTTTCTGTGCACACGCGCAACTTCGACAAATGATGCCATTTTTGTCAAGATCACGACAGCTTTCCGCCCTACAGTAGGCATACAACCTCCTCCGGCCACCAGGGCATCTTCAACGCAGCTAAGGTATGAGCGGAAGTGTCTCCAAGTCAAAACCAGCTGCCTTGGTACAGAATTGGAAAGAGTTGTCGTTCTCTCTTTGCCGAAAACAGCAAGTACAGCACTCTTGAAACCGAAATCTGGAAAAATATACGGAGTACACTAAGTGTATTTAACTATCTCGAAAGATAAGGCTGCCCCATGATACAATTCTGGGTTGCGCTAGAAAAAGCTGAATTCATGGGTTAAGTGAAGTTCTGCCTCGGATTCTTTGGGGCCCTGTCTATTAGATCAGACACCTACATGCCCGAAACAATATGTGGAGCCGAATACCGTATGATCTCAAATGCAGGTGCCTCGGCTCAAAAACATTAGTCTGTGCTCAGGCCTTTGCTGGGTCATAAAACAGTAATAAAGAGATTGACTGGACAAACCGGACCAAGGTTACGAATGGGCGCTTACAGTAATAATGTATCAGTACTAGCTCTCAAGGTCCGTGCGTTTGCTATGCATCGACTGTGTTGAATTATTTTGCGGGCGCTCCGTCTGAAAAGGAAAAATCGGGGCGACATTTAGAATCTACAATAAAGCTTCCTCCAATGCACAATTGTAATAGTATATGGACAGGTCTATGGCCAGAGATACGGAGCTTTCATAGAACCCTCTGCTTTCGAATGGAGGTGCTAAAGTATTTTGCTAAGAGAAAGGTGGTTCGTAATTCGCTCTTTGGGTGAACAAGCGATGTCTGTTGGGAACCCGAATTGGGACGGTGCGTTGGCTATTTGCGCTTGACAAAATAATCCAGCAGCCACCACTTTCGAACTTTTAGTAACTCAGTCGATAATATGCGCTTATTTTCGTCCAACCGCGATAAGCCACTATTAGCTCTTTTACCAATTGGTTACATACCTTTCATGTGAGGATTGCCAAGACTCAGAATCACGCACGCACAGCTCCTCCCCGTCTCTACTGTCTTTATTGCAGAGATCCATGTCCATTCGTAGATATTAGTCTGTGTTACAACGAATTTCAGATTCCCTCACTCCTACTTCTTCTTCTCTTGTCCGAAGTATCCATCCGAAGTCACCTATTATACGTTTTTCTTTGTTCCCCTTTCAGTTCAGCTCGTTGTCTTTAATCGCTGATCTTGTGAACATCTGCGATCAACAAGCCGTCCTATTGAGGCAAACTTTCAATCATGTCTGGATCTCCGGTTCGTGGGGATCTACTAAATGATTCGGCTTGGCAATCCTTTGGCCCTGTTTCCTCAGTGGGCTTCGATTTTACACCACTTTTTGAAGACACTATCCTGTCTTTGCTACCATCAACACTTTTACTACTGATCTTACCCTATCGCCTGATAAGTCTCTATGGCCAGCAGCCGAAAGTGTCTCCCGGGGGCTTTTTGCGCGGGAGTAAAACAATCTTCCTGGCTATGTTTGCTGCAAGCCACCTTGCGCTGCTAATCCTACGTATTTTGAAGTCACCATTACGCACAAAAGCCACAATCCCTGAGTCTGCACTGGCATTCGTTGCCAGTATCGGTCTCTGTCTGCTTTCGCGGTTTGAGCACAGTCGTTCTATTCGCCCATCACCCATCATCAATGGCTACATCTTCCTCACTTTGATCCTTGACACCGCTCGGGTACGAACAATATTTCGGGATACGAACGACAAAAGCATTGCCGCGATGTTTACAGGCATGATCGGCGTAAAAGTGATGGTATTGGTTGCTGAGGCAGTTGAAAAGCGGAGTCTTCTCTTGCCACCCTATCGTTGCTTGTCCCCCGAGGAGACAAGCAGCATTTATAGTCGATCATTCTTCTTCTGGCTGAACGAACTCATGACATCTGGTTTCCACCGGGTTCTTCAGAATCACGATTTGTACCCGGTCGATACTGATATGTCTTCCCTGGTACTTCTTCAGCGAGTGAAAAATTCATGGAATTCTGCGAGACAGCATGAACGGAGAGCTCTCTTCTGGGCACTGTTACGTGCGAATTTGAAGCCGTTTCTTTATTGCGTCATTCCGCGTCTTATTCAGATGGGCTTCAGATATGCCCAACCCTTTCTGCTTGATCGGACGATCAGTTTTGCGAACGATACGAACCAATCAGACAGCATTGGTTGGGGTCTCACGGGCGCTTTCTTTATAGTTCTTCTTGGTGTCGCAGTATCGAATGGAATATATTATCATACGACATTTCGCTTCGTGACGAGTGCCCGTGGCAGTTTGATCAGCATCATCTATACCAAAACGGTTGACCTCAGCATTACCGCCCTCGATGAATCAGTTGCTATTACCCTGATGTCTAGTGATGTCCAAGCCATCTGTAATGGATTACAGTTAATCCATGATCTTTGGGGAGTTCCCCTTGAACTCGTCATTGTGATCTATCTCTTAGCTCGCCAGGTTGGCATTGCGGCAGTTGTAACAGCCGTTCTAGCATTTGTATGTGCTATCTCCATCACTTCCATGGCAAAATTCATGGTAAAAGCCCAGAAGATATGGATGGAGAGTATACAGACGCGGGTTGACGTCACAGCAACCATGTTAAAGTCTATGAAATCAGTCAAAATGCTTGGATTCACAGATCGGCTAATAGAGCTAGTCCAAGGACTCAGAGTAACTGAGCTTCAGCAGGCGAAGCTCTTTCGGAGGTTGCTTGTTCTGCGTGTTTTCCTTGCAAACAGCCTTAGATTTCTGGCTCCGCCTGTGACATTTGCCATCTACGCAAGGATGTCCCAGAATGGGCATTCTTTGGATGTGAACTCAACTTATACAACGCTGTCACTCATTTCGCTAGCTGCATCTCCTGTCAATACGTTAATACGAGCCATCCCTGCTGTGAACACTGCCTTGGCATCCTTTGACCGCATCCAGAAGTTTCTCCAGTCAGAGAGCAGACAGGACCATCGCATACTCATGGGAAAATCTCCAGCATCAGAAGGACAGCTTCAGCAGGCCTTGGAAAAAATAGATCTCACAGAGGCTTCAGAAACTGGCTCTTTGAGTCGCATGGCAGTAACTGGAGTCATTACTGCCCTAGATATGAGCTTTGCATGGCGTCATCATGCACCTTTTTCGGTCCATAATATCAATTTAACCGTGAACAAAGGTCAATTTTGTTTCATTATAGGCCCAGTGGGCTGTGGCAAAAGCACTCTACTGAAGGGCTTACTGGGTGAAACACCATTTAAAGAAGGTTTGCTATACGCAGAACACCGTGAGATGGCATTTGTGGATCAGACACCCTGGATTCGCAACACATCGTTTAAAGACAATATCCTAGGTGTCTCGGACTATGTTGAGGCATGGTACCATGAGACTGTAACTGCCTGTGGACTAGATCATGATGTTGCGAATCTTCCAAGTAGTCATTGTGAGTGTCTCTATCTCAGACGATCAGTCCTATTGCTAATCCTTTTTCACACTAAAGTAACAAAAGTTGGTTCCTCTGGGATTTCCCTGTCTGGAGGGCAAAAGCAACGATTGGCACTGGCGCGTGCTGTCTACTCGTGCAAACCAGTTATTATGCTCGATGATGTTTTATCAGGCCTCGACACTGATACTGAAGAATGTTTGTTTCAAAGCCTCTTTGCTAGGAAAGGAATCTTCCGCAGACTAGGTACGACTGTACTACTAGCCACGCATGCAGTACATCGACTCTCTTATGCGGATCATATTGTTGTTATGAAGAGTGATGGGACCATTGCTGAGCAGGGCACCCTAAGCGAGCTCAAGGCCGGTAGGGGTTACATAGCTTCCCTGAAATCACATAATAAAGAAGAAACGAAGGATGGTATAGAGTTGCAACGGAAGAAGGCTTTGGGAGTTACTCACGCTGGCTCTGAGCAAGATAACTGTGTTGACACTATTGAAGAAGAATTGACCAGGCAAAGTGGAGATCTATCTCTTTACTTATACTATTTCGGGTCTGTGCATTGGGCATCCAGTGCTTTTTGGATGACTTCGTTTATTATTGAAGGGGTATCGCCGAAGTTGAGCGAATGGTTGATCAAAATTTGGATGAGCTCACTGGAAACTAATGGGGATGCTGTTAACTCATTCTACCTAGGCCTCTACGCCATGCTGTCAATCATTACAGTCATTGCACTTGTGGGTGGAGCCTACCACTTATTTATCTTCTTTACTCCGCGCAGTGCTGAAAGGCTCCATGAACGTCTCCTAAAATCGGTTATGCAAGCCCCCTTGTCATTCTTCACTGCGGTTGACACTGGCGTCACAATGAACAGGTAAGCTTACTGGCTCCGAGATTTCTCACTCAAAATTATCCTAGGATTACCTGACCACGGACTGTGACTAGGTTCAGCCAAGATATGACATTAATCGACCATGACTTACCTTACGCCGTCTTAGACTTTGTGTTCTCTCTTGCGGGCGGATTTATGTCCGCGATTATGATATGTATATCGACTCGGTATTTCGCCGCCGTCATACCGCCTCTGTTCCTTTTCTTATGGATATTGCAAAAATTCTATCTGCGAACTTCGCGCCAAATACGACTTCTAGACCTTGAGGCCAAGTCTCCGCTATTTTCTCATTTCATTGAGAGCCTGTCTGGCTTGGTGACGATCCGTGCGTTTGGGTGGGCGTCAGTTTTTGAGAAACAAAATCTGGCACTACTTGACTCGTCGCAGAAACCATTTTATATGCTTTACTGTATCCAGCGATGGTTGGAACTGGCTCTAGATCTATCCGTGGCTTTTCTGGGCCTTATACTGATGATTCTCATCGTCAAATTGCGCAGTGCGGTTGGCACTGGATATGTCGGTCTTGCCATCCTCAATGTTATCACTTTCAGCCAGTCACTGTCGCAGATACTTCGGAATTGGACTGATCTCGAGACTTCTCTTGGTGCTATCTCTCGGATTAGAGGGCTTATTACCAACAATATCTCTGAGGACAAGCCTTATGAGAACAAGGCCTCCAAAACTGCGAACCTTGCCATGTCCGGCTGGCCATCTCAAGGTGGAATCGAGTTCCGGAATGTTTCTGCATCTTACGAAGCAGGGGAAGGCCAGTTGTATGTCCTCCGCAATCTGAATCTGTCTATTAAACCTGGTCAGAAAGTAGGAATTTGCGGTCGCAGTGGCAGTGGCAAAAGCTCACTTTTAGCTACTCTGTTTCGACTGCTAGAAATCGGGCCGCAAAGTCAGATCCTCATTGACGGTGTGGATATAAGACATATTCCTCGGCAAGTGACACGCGCAGCTCTTAACGCAATTCCACAAGAGCCTTTTTTTACGTACGGTACTGTTCGTGCCAATATGGATCCTTATGGTATTAACAGCCTAGAGGAGATTGAGCGTGCGCTTCGTCGTGTTGAGTTGTGGCACATTATCGAGACCAAAGGCGGACTTGATTGCAATCTAGATGCCAACTTCTTCTCTCATGGCCAGAGACAGCTATTTTGCCTCGCCCGAGCCTTGTTGCGCAAAAGCAAGATCGTTGTCCTTGACGAAGTAACCAGCAATGTGGATTTTTTTTCTGACGCATTGATGCAGCAGGTGATTCGGGAAGAGTTCCCAGGCTGCACAATCTTGGCTGTTGCTCATCGGCTCGAGTCTATCCTTGATTTTGACAGGATAGCCGTGATACAGGATGGCGAGCTGATTGAGTTTGATACGCCAGAGTCACTTCTTAAGCAAGATAGTGCGTTCAAGGAGCTTTACAAGTCATAAAATGTAGTTTGTGCAATATGACTGAAATTGAGGCGTAATTTGTCATATACGGTGGTCTTCTAGCATCCGTACCAGTTGCTTTCGTCATGGAATTAGCTCTATGGACTTTTCCTTATCCTTTTTGGTATTTGCTGGTCAGTTGTGGTAGCGTTATAAGGGCGGTCTGTCTTTGATCATTTATAGATAAGTGGTTGAGCAGTGCATATTGTGACTAGTTAGCAGAGCTTTATAGATAGACTACGCTACCTTGTTCTTCCTCTCCATTTTTCTTAGGTCTTCAAGAAGTTATGTTCGCTGCACAATGGGAAAAGTACTGTAAAGGCAAAATACCTTCTCGAAAAAGTCTATAAAGGCACAGAAGGAGAAAAGAATCAAGGAGTGAAGAATATACGGCTCCTCCCTGAAATGAGACCGTGGTGGTGTGCCGAGCGGAAACTAAAATCGGCCTGATGGTGATCCCGCCAGCGGGTGATCCCGAAATTATCCCAAGGACACCCGAAAACTCTGCAAGAAACGATGGCGAGCAGACGCTGGCACCAGCCCATGGAGGCAGGACAAGGAGAACACAAAACATTACGATCCCACCTCTGGACTTCAATGTGCCAGATCATACCAGTAACCGTATCACTAACCAGATGGTCTGGGCGCTGATTCTCAGCTTTAAGAAAACCATCACTCCCCAAATCATTGCGATCGAGTCAGCCAGACCGGAAATCCAAGAGATTGAAGCTGGACAGGAGGACCTACAGAAGGAAAATACCAAGTTACAGGAGGAGATACAGTCCCTCCGATCCCAGGTCGAAGCACAGACCCTATTCACCCCTAAATCATGGGCCGCAGTCGCAGCAGCAGCAGCGGCGGCGGCAGGGAACACGCCCGAACAACCCTCGAACGCGATAATTCCGCGCCCCCGAAAAGAACTGCGTCCGCATCAGCACCGCGGCCACTTTAGATGACGACATCGATAACAAACGGTCCACAAGATTCCTACCTCCCAAAGCAGCGAACACATACTCTAAATGGAGTCTCCATCCAGGACAGGCCAAAGAACCAAAACCCAAACGGGCGTACAACCGTGCAGACTGGGCTCAAGTGGGCCAAAGTATACTGAAACAGGTTGGCCAAGACCTGAAAATCGAGACAAACGAAGACCTGGACCGCGCCGTCGAAAACCTTATCCGGAGCACGACAGCCGCCCTAAACCAACATGTGCCGGCGCAGGCACCATGCCCGTACTCCAAACGCTGGTTCACCCCAGAGCTCAAGGCCCAGCAGGTGGAGGTCAACCGGAGCCGTAGAAGGTGGCAGAACGGATGTGCCATCCTAGGACCTGATCATCCAACCACCAAGTCCATGTTTTGAAGCAATGCGCAAGAAAAGAGGACTGTGGAAAAGAGCCATTGCAAAAGCAAAGGCAAACCACTAGAGAGAGTTTCTGTGAATAGCGGTCACGTGGCCTGACGCCACCTCATCATTGTCTCTCTGGCTCCACGTTTCTTCCCTCTGGCACGTATCTCGAGCCACTTGATCGCACATGTAGGCGACAGATGTGATCGCGAGCGGCGTTCATAGATACGTGACTAATCACATGACGTGGTTTTGCTTGCTTTGTTTGTTTTGTTTCGCTTCCTTACCTCTGTTGTCACACCCCCACATTTCTTTCCTCCTCATGTTCGATATTCTAGTTTAAATGCACCAAGTAGGACATATTTAATCAATTCTCACACCGGAAACTTCTCACATTCAGTATTCACTGCAAGCTCATAAGAGATGCGCGTTCTGAGTCTAGTCTTTCACCGGATAGCCAAGCGGTTAATTGTTCGGAGGATTCACTGCCTGAAGCGCACCAGGTTGAATCCTGACAATGGGTTGGCCTGTCAGGGCGGGAACTACGTTAAGAATAAGAATATGAATTGAATGGAATTACTGGTGCTGCCAGCACCACTATTACAAAAACCTCTTAGATAAACAGTTTTCAATCGCATGTATCTGGTCCTATCCATAGAAACAACCAGCACCCGGATAGCACTCGCATTCAGATCTCATTTGCCCTCAAATTTACTGACTCGATATTTGGGTTGAACCTTATCATCTAAGCTGTCCCCATCGGACTATCAGGCGTTATCATAGGACAGAAAGACTGCATCGATGCACTCCAGTACCGACCTTTTTCGCGGGTCATCCCTGAGGCTCAAGGGCAGGCGGTTGACGACAGGTTATGCGTAGATCTGATCCTGGAAAGTTTCGTTGATCTTGGGGATCTATTAGCTGTGGTATATGTTTTGATCCTGGCTACGAGGCTAACGAGGGGAGACCTCCCCAAGTCTTTGATTCAGGGTGCCTCTCTACTACTGCATCGCTTCTTCCTTATCTTCCGCTATCGTTGATTTGGCATGTCTTTCTGCAGCTACTTTGTTCTACATCACCGGACTGAATACTGACCCTGACCTAAGCCAGGAATAAGTGAGCCTAGTAATCAAAATGTATTCTCGTGTGATAGTATTAGTATTACTACGTATTATTATATGAGTAAGGTCTATATCAGAATCCTAGAACTCACTAAACTTCATAAAAGAACTACAAGCTAGGGGCGTGCATTGTCAAGAAGGAACTGCATGGCCTCAGGCCACCCAGAATTCACCATTTCCAGGACAGTCTGACCTGTCTCATCGTGCTGCGTGAGATCAGCTCCGCCTCCTTTCTTAACGAGCAGATGCAATAATGGCAGATCCCGATACTCAATCGCCTGCATGACGGCATTCCAGTTTCGGTAAGTTTTATTGGGGTCGGCACCCTTCTCAAGCAGAAGCTCAACCATGGAAAGATCACCATTGATGATCCGGCGGATCGCTTTCACAAGGGGAAGATGCTCGCCGGGGGCGTTTGGATCGGCACCTCCTTCCTCCAGCAGGAACCTCACAATATCGTCATGTCGCTCTCGCAAAGCCGTAGTCAGTGGGGAGAAGACGCCACCGTTCTTATACTCGACATTGGTACCGGCGGCGAGCAGCAGTTTAATGCTCTCGAGCTGGTTGGCAAGCACGGCCATCTCCATGACGCCCTTGTGAGCAGAAATATCAGGGACCATCGGGAGCAGTTTCTGAAGCAGAGCCGGAGACCGCACGGCCATGCATACAGGCCAATCCTGCCCGCGTTGAGCTGGGTTGGCGCCATGTGCGAGCAGGTAGCTGAGCATATCCGACCGGTTCTCGCGGATGGCGGTGGTTAGTGCAGTATGACCTTGTGCGTTACGGTCATTCACGTTCGCGCCTCCCTGCTCAACCAGCCACTTCAGGGCCTCCGTGTTGTTGACTTGCACGGCCAGTTCTACGATTCCAGGCGGTTGAAAAAGGTCAGCCCCAGCCGCGACCAAGACGGGCAGGAAATGGAGTCGGTTGTGGGTAATGCATTTCCAAGCGGGATACTCGGACGCCATGACGTTTGGGTTCGCACCGTGTTCCAGCAGCAGTGTCAAGATGTCGGCCCGATTGTCGCGAATGGCGGAGCAGAGGGGAGTATAGGTACCGTCCTTCTTGGCATTCGGATCGAGCCCAACCTCCAGCAGCGTACGAACGGCTTCGATGTTGTTCATGCTGGTCGCCTGTTCCATGAGACCTGGGGTCTTTTTGATGTCGGCCCCGCTGTTTAACAGAAGGCGCAAACATGCTGGCCGAGAGATAGCTAGCCATAGGACATGCTCGGGTCCAGGGAGATTCGGATTGGCGCCATGTTCGAGCAGTATCATCAAGACGGCAACCTGCTCGGTCTGCACCGCCTCATTGAGTGCTGTTCTCCCTTGGCAGCCCTTCTTGTTTGGGTCGCTGCCGGCGTCAAGTAACATAGTGACTAGCTTCGGTGGCGCCCGTTGTCTGATAAGCTCGATAAGCACAGTGCTACCGCTTGGGGTTTCAGTATCTGCATTGCCCCCATGCGCAAGCAGCTGCTGCACCATATTGAGCTTGCCCTTCGCCAGTGCGCGACTCAAGGGAGAGTCTCGTCCCGGCTCTGATGCATAGTTGGGGTTGGCGCGATACTTTAGCAATAAGTTCGCCCCGTCGATGAATGACTCATCCACTGCGACAAATAAGGGCGTCTCTCCCTGCCGGTCTGGTTCGTTTGGGTTCGCACCAAACTGCAGAAGTAGGCGCATGCCCTGGAAATCGTGTTGGTGCACGGCCTCGTTGAGCGGATGGATATGCTCCCCAAGATTGGGCGAAACTCCACTGTCCAGCAACTGCTCTAGCAACTTGTGGTTCCGTCCCCGGACGGCGGAGGCTAACGCACCGCGCAATCGCGTCGCACTAGCTCCACTATTTCGGCTAGGGGTGCGATGCAGGAGTTGGGCTGAGGACTCATATAGCTGGCGATGTGTGAGGGTATCCCCAGATATATTGTGGTCGAGAGGTATAGCAGATTCCGCTTGCGGCTCGCGCGAGCTCGTTCGCACAGGATTTCCATTTGGTCGCAGAGGCTGAGGACGAGAGTCGACTGGGGGAAAAGAAAGACCGTCCTGACCATTGTCGTTCGCAAAAAGGAGGGAGTCAAGAGAAAGCACAGAGGAGAGTATGTCATCGGCATTGGACGGGGGATTTTCTATCCCAACCGAGAGTTGTTCTGGGGATTCTTTGGGGGGCACAGAGGGGACCGACGCTGATGACAACGAAGTAGCCACCTCCTTCGATACCTGTTCCAGAGATTTAGCCTTATTGATGCCCATTACCGACCGGCCTTTGGCCATGCGGTCCAGTGCGGCAGCCAACCCGGCGTAGCCGATGCCCACTGATTCCGCCATAAACGGCTGTTCCCCAAGGGACCAGTGAAAGGCGAGGACGCTGATTTGAAGTGTTTCGGTTGTCTTTTTCAACGACTCGCGAATGCGGTGCAGTTCGAGGCTGGGGCGATTCCATCCGCGTTGAAGCCTGCCAAGGGCGCCACGATGTTCATACTGGATGAGTTTAGTCACGACCTTGTCCAGACTCTGAAAATCACGATAAGCGGCCATGAACTTTTTCGCCACCTCCTCCACGATCACATCGGGCAGGGCGCGACCGGCAGCAGTGGATTCGGTGAGACCAGCATCAATGGCCCATAAAGCGCGGCAAGTGTCTAAGAAAGTCTGTGACAATTCGCGAAAGCCGTTCGGCAAGTCGTGCTCGGTGCTGAGGTAGTCCAGCATGTGCACCGAGATGCGATTGCCTAGCTGAGTGGCCTGAGCCGAGACGGTGAAAACGGCCTTTTGAGCTGCCATGGCTTTTGAAGGTAATCTGGCAAGAAAGGAAGATAGGAACCGGGGAGAAGGGGAAGAGGGGAACCCCCAGACAGGATCGATGCCGAAAAAAGATTTCAAATCCTAGGAGGGAGGGAGTGAAGGGGGATCGGGACGAGTCCACGCGCTAATCACAAGTAGGGCCATGGTGGTGGAGGAACCAACCATGAGGCAGACACAGCAGCGATACCTTTCATTGTTCCTGTCCTGCCGGGATGATGAATGGATGTAAAGTTCGGCGGACTCAAAGGCTCCCCTGGATGGTGAGAACTAGAGGAGTGGGACCTTCGGCCCAGACCGAGCCGGCTGGAGCGTTCATGGACATTATTGATAGACAGCCTCCTCCGGGTCCCACTTCAATGCTTTAGGTTCACTCATGTGGAGTCCGACTGCCTCAAAGAGGTGGTAATTGACTGGGTGAGACATGCCGGTTCGCGACTCATAAGCCGGTTGCGATCCTCGGAGGTTTCGAGAGGGGGACTAAGTTGAAAGGCTGACGCAGGAAATCGATGGGCTCAGATGGGAGCCGGGAGTCAATCGAGACGGTAGATAGATTTTACTGCCTCACAGGTTCTCATCCACCTTCATTGCAGAGGGCGTCTCTTTTATTTCGTGGAGATTAGTGAGGCCATAATGTAGGAATGGTTGTGTAGAAGGTGAATGTGCTCGTCGTCTGCCCTCCGTTCACCATATCAGACATATCAGTGTTGTAAAATCAACCAGCTAACAACATATACACACACGTTCAAGTATGGTATACCGAGACATTCAAAATCGGCTTCCGCTTCAAACACTCTTTAATTGTTTATGAGCCCCACTTGTAGATTTTTAGCGCCTTGGCAATTCATATAATGATGTTTTGTATGTTAACGTAACCGGACAACGAAGCGTCGCGACAACGAGCCGTCGGTGACCCTCACCGCCTTATATCTCCAAGATATACAATATTTTATCTTGCTTAATTAAGTTAAAAATTAAGCTATTTGAATATATAATGTGTGTTTTATTAGAATACTATAACTTATCTGTAAAGCCTTTAATTGCGGTTTATTTGCCACGAAAAAGATGTATACTGCAGTATTTGATATTAAGATAAGTAGATACTAGAAAATACTTAATACTAGCTATTATACTATAATAATTACAATAACAAAGATTATAATTAGTTCAAGTATATATCGATAAAATCAATATTTAGTTTATTTATATTTATTCATCTATATAGTACTGAATTACTTTAATTTGAATCGATTGTTGCATTTTTAGTAGGAGAGCGGCGGCTCGTTGTCGCGCCGGTTCGTTGTCCGATTACGTTACCAGCACTGTATAATTCTAGAACTTTCGATTTTAGCCAGTGATATAGGTGAGTCATCTCCTGCATCATTCCCAGTTCTCACATCGTTCGCACTTTTGCAAGCAGGCTGTTCATATGTTCCAGATGGCTCCCAATCTAGCAGCATCTCAGCATGAGCTCATTCGCGACATGATTTTAAGCAGATCATTGACTACTGCTCAAATGGCTGGCGTGGCTGGTTGCAGTGAGCGCAGCATTCGATATATTCGTTCCAACCCACAACTTTCTGGCAGCGTCAAAGCACCTCCAAACAAAGCCGGCCGACCGCGAACGGTAACCCCGCCTATGCTGGAGGCCCTTTGCGAGCATCTCCTTACGAAACCGGATCTGTATCTAGACGAAATGGCAACTTTCTTATGGGATGAATTCAAGACTGTAGTGACAACCGCCAGTATCAGGAGGGCGCTCAAATCCGTTGGATGGTCTAAAAAAGCAGCTCGTCGGATTGCTGGAGAGCGTAATGCGGACTTGCGGGACTGCTATTTTCATAGCCTGTCTGAATTCCGTTCGTACCACCTTATTTATGTCGATGAGTCGGGATGCGATAAGCGAATTGGCTTCAGGCGAACGGCGTGGTCCCCTGTTGGAGTAACACCGGTACAAATATCTCGGTTTCATCGCGGACAGCGATATCAAATACTGCCAGCGTATGCCCAGGATGGTTGTTATACTCGCCCGTGTGTTCCAGGGATCTACTGATGCATCCATATTCGAAGATTTTGTGAAGTAGCTGCTTCATCATTGCGGGAGGTGGCCGGAGCCCAAATCTGTGCTGATAATGGACAATGCATCATTTCATCATACCAATCGTGTGGAACAGATGTGCAGCGACGCCGGGGTGAAGTTGCTGTACCTACCTCCATACTCACCAGACCTCAATTCCATTGAGGAAATGTTTGCAGAATTAAAGGCCTTCATTAAGCGTAACTGGGAGGTATTTGAAGAGGACCCCGAGCTCAATTTCGATGCATATCTAGAGTGGTGCATCGACGTTGTCGGTGCCAGAAAGCTGAGTGCAGAGGGGCATTTTCGTCATGCTGGGATTACTCTGGAACCACTGCCTCTGAGCTTCAACGGGATCTACCAGTGATCCAACACCCCGCTTTTGTGTCCATCAGAACCTCGATGACTAATCAGGACAACCCTGCGTGTCAAAGAAGTCAGAGGCATTCTTTCAGATAATATATAATAGCTACGCCTTGATAAAACCTCTCAGAACTCAATTGTAGCTTAGACTTTGAGCTTATCTGGATAACTAGCAAATGATCTTCCTAGGTATGTCTGTAACACTTTACGAATATCATGTTGAGAAACTGGCCTTGTTGCTTAATATTAATACACACCACTTCCTCTTTTTTCTTTTTATACGTTCTCGAGGTCATCATGATTGGCCCTCTAACCGCGACAGCCTCCCAGTTACACGTGTCAGATGACCATTCCAACTCCGACTTCAGATCTGTTTCTTGGAATGTTTAAACCTGCAGTTCTAATGCCTCCTCCATCTTCTTCCGACCAAAGACTATCCGTATTATCTCGGTAAATTCTCACCACTTTTTCATGTATGATACAGAAAATGTCCTTCACGCACCGCGACTATACGGTCGCATGGATCTGCGCCCTACCGTTGGAACTAGCAGCAGCAAAGGCCATGCTGGACGACGTTCACCCTCCGCTTCCCCAGCCAGAATCCGACCACAATGTCTACACACTTGGGAGAGTTGGCAACCACAATGTAGTAGTGGCCTGTCTGCCTGGCGGTGTCTATGGAACGATATCCGCTACAGGTGTAGTGTCACATATGGTCTCTACCTTTCCAACTCTCCGGACCGGGTTCGGATTGATGGTGGGTATTGGGGGCGGAGTCCCGAGCCCAAGAAATGATATTCGCCTTGGCGATGTTGTGGTCAGCAGGCCAACTACCACTTCAAGTGGCGTTATCCAATTTGACTACGGCAAGACACTGCGCGGCGGACGATTCCAGCACACCGGGACGCTTAATAAACCTCCTTTAGTATTGTTGAAGGCCGTGTCTCAGTTAGAGAGTGGTTATATGACGGGGAAAAGGCCGGCCAGCGAAATTTTGAATGATACACTACACAAAAGTGAAGAGATAAGAGAAGAGTTTTCGCGACCGAAAGTCGACTGGCTATTCTCACCAACCTACAACCATGAGGATAGCGAACATAACTGTTCGGCATGTGATCAGACACAGATAATGAGCCGTTCTGAGCGGGAAACTGATGACCCTTATATTCATTATGGCTTGATCGCTTCCGGAGATCAGGTCATGAAAGATGCCAAGACTCGCGATTCCATTACTCGGGATCTAGACATACTCTGTTTTGAAATGGAGGCTGCTGGACTCATGGACGAACTCCCATCACTAGTCATTCGCGGCATCTGTGACTACTGTGATTCGCATAAAAATAAAAGGTGGCAACGATATGCTGCGCTTGCGGCTGCTGCGTACGCGAAGGCTCTTCTGTCGGTAGTTCCCACTTTTTACCGTACAGAATCACGTGATCTAAAGCAATCAGTCTGGATGGTCCCCTTACGCAGGAACCCACGGTTCGCAGGTCGGGAAGACGAAATCACCAAAATAGAAGGGTTGTTCATGCAACAGAACGGACCTAGCAAGGTTGCTATCTGCGGACTAGGCGGCGTTGGAAAGACGCAGATCGCACTTGAACTGGCCTACCGCATGCGAAATCGAGACCCTAATTGCTCGATTTGCTGGATTACATGTACCAACTATGAGAGCGTGGAACAAGCCTATATGAACATCGCCTCGAAGCTGGAAATAATTGATATAAAACCGGCAGAGGTGAAAGAAAAGGTCAAAGCTTATCTTAGCCAGGAGAGTGCCGGGAAGTGGGTTGTTATCTTTGATAATGCAGATGATATGGGAATGTGGAGCACAAACGATACTACTGATACAGTATTAACAGACTTTCTTCCTGAAAGTGAGCAGGGCCATATTCTTTTCACCACGCGCAGCCGTAAGGTGGCTGTGAAACTAGCATCTTCCCATGTTATCACAGTCACTGAGCCGAACACAGAGTCTTCCGTCGAAATTCTAAAGAACTCACTAGTCGAGAAGACACTGCTTAATGATCGTGTTACAGCTCTGAAACTTCTTGAGCAGCTGGCTTTTCTCCCTCTGGCGATCATCCAGGCAGCAGCGTATATCAATGAAAACAGCATTGGCCTCTCTGAATATCTTCAGCTTTTACAGGATCAGGAGCCGCATGTGGTTGAACTGCTGAGTGAAGACTTTGGAGATGAAATGCGCTACAAGGACATCCAGAATCCTGTTGCTCTGACTTGGTTTATCTCTTTCCAGCAAATTCAACAGTTAAATAAGCTGGCAGCGGACTATCTGTCATTCTTCGCCTGTATCAAACCTCGTGACATTCCACAGTCCTTACTTCCCCAGCCGACCTCGAATAAGAACAAAACTGATGCGCTTGGTCTTCTCAAGGCCTTCTCCTTCATTAGTGAGGGGAGCGGGGTCAGTTCTCTAAATCTACACCGATTAGTCCATCTTGCGACTCGGAACTGGCTGAGGAGGAACCAACAGTTCAGCCTGCAAATATTGAAAACTGCTGACCGACTGAGCGAAGTCTTCCCAGATTATGATCATACGAATCGGCAGGTGTGGCGGGAATATCTGCCGCATGCTCTTTCACTAATAGCAGAAGCTGGATTTCGGAAGGAGCAAGAGAAATACATTGATTGGATCCGAAAGGTTTGTAGTTGTCTCTCTAGTGACGGACGATGGAAGGAAGCGGAAGAGCTGGGAGTGCAGGTAGTAAAGCTACGCAAGCAAGTACTAGGACCTGAGCACCCTGACACTCTTACTAGCATAAGCAATCTGGCCTCGACCTACTGGAATCAGGGACGATGGAAGAAAGCAGAAGAGCTGATAGTACAAGTATTAGAGCTGCGCAAGCAGGTACTAGGACTTGAACATCCTGATACTCTTACCAGCATGGGCAATCTGGCCTCAACCTACATGAATCAGGAACAATGGAAGAAAGCAGAAGAGCTGGAAGTACAAGTACTAGAACTGCGTAAGCAAGTGCTAGGACCCGAGCATCCTGACACTCTTACCAGCATGGCCAATCTAGCAGTGACCTACTCGAATCAGGAACAATGGAAGAAAGCAGAAGAGCTGATAGTACAAGTATTAGAGCTGCGCAAGCAGATACTAGGACTTGAACACCCTGATACTCTTACCAGCATGAATAATCTAGCCTCGACCTATTGGAATCAGGAACAATGGAAGAAAGCGGAAGAGCTGATAATACAAGTATTAGAGCTGCGCAAACAGGTACTAGGACCCGAGCATCCTGACACTCTTACCAGCATGGCCAATCTAGCATCGACCTACGCCAAGCAGAAACAATGGGAGAAAGCAGAAGAGCTGATAGTACAAGTATTAGAGCTGCGCAAGCAGGTACTAGGACTTGAACACCCTGATACTCTTACCAGCATGAACAATCTGGCCTCGACTTACTCAAATCAGAAACAATGGAAGAAAGCGGAAGAGCTGATAATACAAGTACTAGAGCTGCGCAAGCAGGTACTAGGACCCGAGCATCCTGACACTCTTGCCAGCATGGCCAATCTAGCATCGACCTACACGAATCAGGGACGATGGAAGGAAGCGGTAGAGCTGGATGTGCAAGTATTAGAGCTGCACAAGCAAGTGCTAGGACCCGAGCATCCTGATACTCTTACCATCATGGCCAATCTAGCAATGACCTACTGGAATCAGAGACAATGGGAGAAAGCGGAAGAGCTGGGAATACAAGTATCAAAACTGCGCAAGCAAGTGCTAGGACCCGAGCACTCTAAGACTCTTACCAGCATGAGCAATCTAGCATGGGCCTACACGGAGCAGGAACGATGGAAGGAAGCGGAAGAGCTGAGAGTGCAAATCTTAGAGCTGCACAAGCAAGTGCTAGGACCCGAGCATCCTGTCACTCTTACCAGCATGGCCAATCTAGCATCGATCTACTCAAATCACGGACAATGGAAGGAAGCAGAAGAGCTGGAAATGCAAATGATAGAGCTACGCAAGCAAGTACTAGGGCCCAAGCACCGTGACACTTTTACCAGCATGGCCAATCTGGCATCTATCTACTGGAATCAGGGACGATGGAAGAAAGCGGAAGAGCTGGGAGTGCAAGTACTAAAACTGCGCAAGCAAATGCTAGGACTCGCGCACCCTGATACTATTACCAGCATGAGTAATCTGGCCTCGACCTACTCAAATCAGGGACGATGGAAGGAAGCGGAAGAGCTGGAAATGCAAGCATTAAAGATGCGCAAGCAAGTGCTAGGATCTAACCACTCTAATATTCTCACCAGCATGGGCAATCTGGCCTCGATCTATTCAAATCAGGGACAATGGAAGAAAGCGGAGGAGCTGGAAATGCAAGCATTAAAGCTGCGCAAGAAGATGCTAGGACCTGAGCATCCTGACACTCTTACCAGCATGAGCAATCTGGCCTCAACCTACTCGAATCAGGGACGATGGAAGGAAGCGGAAGAGCTGGAAGAGCAAGTATTAGAGCTGCGCCAGCAAGTGCTAGGGCCCGAGCATCCTGATACTCTTACCAGCATGGCCAATCTAGCCTTTACATGGAAAGGCCAGGGAAGAGTTAAAAATGCCTTTGCTCTGATAAAACAGTGTGCAGAGCTGCGCCGCAACTTGCTGGGTCCAGATCACCCAGATACCATATCCTCTTGTGATACTCTCAGTGACTGGGAAACTGTGATGGCGAGTACGTGAGAGGCACGTGACACATTTCTATTCACTTTGTTTGCTACACGTGACCTTGCTTTGTTTGTTTTGTTTGCTTCGCTTCGTTCGCTTACCTTTGTTGTTCGCACGTGTTCCCCCACACTCCTTACTTTCCCTCCTCATGTTCGATATTCTAGTTTATATGCACCGAATGAGATTCATTTGCCCGGCTGTCACAGAAACCGCGGTATATTTCCTGACATGGTAGTCGACAAAGCATACTAGTTGCCTTTGTGATGGCGAGCGGCGTTCGGATGCACGTGACTGACCGGGTCACATGACGTAGTTTTGTTTGCTTTGTTTGTTTCGCTTCGTTCGCTTACCTTTGTTGTTTACACGCGTTCCCCATAGTTACGTTATAGAATGATTTATAACGTCATGCCAAGAGATGAATGATACCACCGTTCGTTATGTCTCTGTAACTCACTTACAGTGGTATGACAAAAGTTTGCGTTGCCCCACATTCTACGCTAGTTGTTTTTACTTCCGCCTTCCTAACTAGGTTAGAATAGAGCTATTCTGCCTACCAAAACAACACGTACGGAGAGAGCCCTGAATCTTGAAGCAAGCAAGCCATACAAAGATGCCACCACGCAAAGAGTTGACCCCAGAGGTCCGTGCTAGACTCTGTGAGTTGAAAGCAATTGGATGGACCTTTACTATGATTCATAAACGTTATCCGCATATTCCTTATTCTACTATACAAACTACAATCAAGCGCGAGAGTACTCGAAAGCAGCAACATTCTGCATCTCGCTCCGGACGACCCAAAAGAATTACTCCTGAAGAACAACAACAGCTATTAGACTTGGTTGAGCAAGATCAGCATATAAAAATGCGTGAACTCTCTACTGCTGTACAAAGCAGTCCTTCAATCAGAACAGTTCAACGTCTATTCCGTACTCTACACATGCAGAAATGGAAACAATGTGAGCGGCCAGAAATCACTCCTCAAAATGCAGAAAAGAGATTAAGATGGGCTCAACAATATGCAGAATACACTGCTGAAGACTTTCTACGTGTTATCTGGTCAGACGAATGCTCAGTTGAACGTGGTGCAGGAATTCGACGAATCTACACCTTTCGATCACCAAAGCAACAGATTATTGAGCGTGATATTCATACTGTACGTTGTGGAAAGGGTGTTAAGCAGATGTTTTGGGCTGCTTTTGGATATAACAGACGTACGGGTCTTCTACCTTTACAGGGAGATCCAACATCTACGCGTCAAGGTATTACTGCATGGATTATTCGTGGTGTTTATGAAGCATTTCTACCTGAAATCTTACAGGCCGGAGATATCTTCATGCATGACGGAGCATCCGTACACCAAGCTTATATTGTACGCGAATTGATTCAAGATATGGGGGTAGAAGTCATGATTTGGCCACCATACTCACCCGATTTGAATCCTATCGAAAATCTATGGGCCTTAATGAAAGCTAAGATATATGAACTGCATCCAGAATTAGAACGTGCTCTGGATACTGAGGATACTCGTCAGAGTCTTATACAAGCAGCGATTGAAGCCTGGCATGCAATTGACGAAAGAGTGCTTCGAAATCTATGTCAAACCATGCCTCATCGCGTACAGGCAGTCATCCAAGTGGATGGTTGGTATACAGCTTATTGAGTTCTAGATAGAGTTCTAGATAGCCTAATTAGGAAAGCGGAACGGCTAGCGTGGAACAAGGGATAACGCAAACTTTTGTCATACCACTGTACCGCTATTGGTTAGCGTACACGTCCTAATCTTGGCAGTGGGGCCTCAAGAAAAGAAAACAGTAACACAGGCGGAACGCGATTCTGAATCTCACGGTAACAACCACTTTCTTTCCCCAGATTAATTCTTACTTTGACTCACCGATCACTGTTGTTGTTTCTCAACACAATGGGATCATCTGATCTATGCAACCTCCACCTCCCTAGTACATCCACCCATACTCCAAAGCTGAAACTGGACCCTCCCCTCTATCGCCAGCAATGTTGCCTGGGCTCTGTGTATCCTTCTCTGATCTTCAAGGCTTTCCACCTTATTCTACTTATTCAGCTATTATACTACAATATAGATTCCCGATGTGTACGCACCGCATGAGATGGCTATGGAGTCCCAGCTAATATGACATGTACTCATAGATGGGAACCTGACATCCGCCCGTACAGTCCGATAAGTGGTAGCGACGCGTGGATCGCGATTCATCAGCCCGTACAATTTGAGTTGTCTTACAACAATTGGGGTGGAGTGCAAAGTACAAATGATGCCAATACGGAAGTTCTATTAGCTTCGCAAGCGGGGCCAGAATGCCTGCGAAGTAAGGGAATCTTTGTTCCGGTAGTCTTGCGCCCGCGTTCAAGTTGTGGTGACGGGTCGATCGGTGGCCTTCCGTGCCCCTGCATCAACTATCTAGCGACTGAACATCGTGTCTGGAAAATCGTCCCCTCTGCCGTGTGCTTCCTCCTCGCATGTTCCCATGTTGAGCTGGATTTCCGGCATTCCCGCAGCTCATGTAGTGCTACAAGTACCGAGTCAATACATTTTTTATGGCGTAGTTGACATCCTTGATGGTTGTGCAATGCACTGGGATCCCTACGCATATCGGGGTCGAAGGGAACGAGGCGAAGCGGGCGGCGGTAGATAAGCGGGACCGGGACGGGTCAACAAACAATCCGGCTCGTCTCCGCTGCCAAGAGGGCCGTTCGCAGCAAATTCCAGAATAGATCGGCCACAAGTAGTTGGGAGAGAGGGCAACACAGCTGGATCTATAAGACTTCCAGTCAGAATCCCTTCTAGACAGATCCGTCTGCTGTATAAACGCAAGCGCGGAAGTTGAATGATACAGCTATAAGTAGAGAGAGACCATGACACTTTAGATTAACTATATCCTCCTACTAGTATGCCCCCTTTTCAATTGTGAGGTTATGATTGGGAAGATTCTTGATAAGATTGCCGCATGTATGGGCATGGGGGGATAATGTTATCGATTGTAAATTACTCAAATCGGACCCGCAGGAGAGCTGCTATGTTGCCGAATTTATATTGCAAGAGAAGCTTGCTCAGGGAGTTTAGTCAGGTTGAACTTGACTCTGAAACAGGGCCTGACCCAAGCCACGAACACGATGGTCTCATGGTTATGGGGATAGATGCTGATGATGCTGAGTAGAAGGACCCATACATGCCCTGCTTGAGCCAGCGGGGAAGGTTACGTGTAACTATTAGAAGGAACAAGCATGTTAGAAGCAAGAACATGGGCGAAGAATGGAGAGGAGGCAGCTGATTGAACAGCTGTGACACTCATTCATATTTCTACATCTTCTGTGTGACTACACTATGCTTTCGTAGCGTACTCGGTTGTATTCAGCTGCGTCGACGACCTTCCCACGTCGCGGCATGCGTTATTTAGTATGGGCTTCACGTGTTCACTACTGCGAGGATTGCGGGATTTGACGGCGTTCAGGGCCATATTCTTGCTTCAAACGATAATGCACCTGCATAGCTAGCATCTTACCTTGGCGGGCCCGATCAGGTATAAGATTAAGTAATGAAATGTAATGAATTGAGTATAGTATAGCATAGTGTTTGAGTATACCTCCCGTAGAGATAGATATACCTATATAGACAGTCACACCATCAGATTCTCGACAACCGGCCCATGCAAAGAAACAAACCGAAACTCCAACACCGATGCTCCACATGCAGAAAAAGAGAACAAAAAATGAACCATACAACAATACAGTCCACCCTTACCTAATCCAATCCAACCAATCAATCCTAGTCCCTTCAAACCAGCAGAGAGATAAAGAGAGAAAGATGCAAACTATGCAAAGTAGTATGCTGCGACAAACCCTATACATGACAAGACAGAACACAGTAAAAATCACTCGATCACGGTAGGTAATTGTTACACCTGACCTGGATAATATTCTGCTCTCCAGAGGCGCTGATCACGAAAGCGGTGAGTTTTCCGCCGGCGACACAGCCGGTATCAATTCCCTTGGTATAGGTATTGATGTTGAGGCCTGTTTCGGAGTCGTGGCCGTAGATGACAGTGGTGGCTTTGGCGGCGCCTGCGTCTTCGTCGTCATCATTGTTCGAGCTCTTAGAGCTTGAATAGCTGACAGATTGGTGTTTGTTAAAAAACTAGACGGTTCTTAGTATTATCGTTTCAAATCCACATAGTACTGAAAGTCATAAGGGAACCAACCTTAGTCCACATCATACCGTCCCGCTCTGGACTAGGCATATGGGTGTCCAAATCAAGGGTTAACATATTCATCACGCTGTACGGATCCTGATGATTCAGATCCACGCCCGGAATCAGTCCGCCATGCACGACGGCGACCTGTCCCATGGTAGGAATCTGTCCCACATTGAGGATAACTGGGCAGGCGTCTAGCCACTCTGATTGTTCTTCTGACAGGGCACGCGCAAGATTACGTTCATTTTTGGCCTGCTCTGTTGACTGACCATCGAGGTATTGATCGGAAGAGGTATCAGTCAACGTCTGAGCTTCGATCATGTTGTGGCGCATAACAAGGACGCGGTCTTCGTTGTTTCCACGCACACACGATGCGGAGTACTTTCGGGCAAAATCGACGACGTCAGTGCTGTTGGGGCCCTGGCTAATCATGTTTCCAGTAAAGATGAGGTGGTCGTTGGTCGGATCGAAGAGGAGTTCTTCAAGAAGGCGGTCCACTATCACCATAATTGTGTGTTAGCGATCTATGCATGCCTCCCAATACCATACAGCGCATAAAGGAGAAAAGGGGGGCATACACTCAGCCATACATCCCTGCACATCACCCACAACAATCAGCCGTTCATCCCCCTCAGGCAAAAGCTCCGTATCCAGCTTTCCCACCTGCACAACATCATCAAACCCGGGGAAAGCGTTCGTTCCAAACCATCCACCGACTTCCTCCTTCACCTCTGGATCTAGCGCCCGCAACAACGACGCATGCTCCGCTAGCCGCGGAGAGAGGATATACAGCCATCCCAGCAGACACGTTATCACAAGGGTCAAGTACACCACGACATAGCGACGGAAGCGCGGCGCAGTGACAATAGACAGGAAGAGTTGGACGAATCTGGAGGGTTCAGAGGGCTGGTCGGGGTTGGCGAGATGGGAGTATTTGGCGTTAGTTTGCCATTCGTTGCGCACGTAATCGATTAAGGGCCTTGTGTAGCGCTTAATGCGACCCGTGGGGTGGGGAGAGAAGCGGCCATCATCAGAGGTGTCGGAGGAGTATTCCAGGCTTTCGGTGTCGTGGTAGTTGGTCATATTAGGAGGAGGGTTAAGTATGTGTTGTTTTGTCTGATTCCGGAGGACGAGTGGGGGGGGATGATTGTGGGTGATGTTGAAGAGAATGCTGAATCTGAATGAGGCTATGGACAATGGACAAAAAGCAACGGAGAGAAAAGGGAAAAAGAGAGAAAGAGAATGTAGCGACGATCAGAACCGATCGACAACACGGCCTTCGATGTGGAATGGCAAGGGAGGACACAGTGCGGGCCCAGCCGCGTCGGTGAAAGAGTGATAATGAAATGGCTCCAGATGGCGGAATGGAGCGATGGACCCAAGAAGTGGAAGGGAGAGAGGTCCAGTCTTGTGACGCCTTACTCGAAACAGGTTTCCCTGATCTAACCTGGTTGGGGTTAGTGCTAGGGTGCCGTCCCTCTTGGCCTATGCGCCACTAGTCCCAACAAGGGTTAGGTGTTCTATTATGGGCAAGACGCGACTCGTCAGGGTCCAGTTTGTGCATCTAATGCGTATTGCTCTTACTCAGTGTGCGAGGCTGAGCAAATGGCAATCTGGATAAACTGGATAAGATACTCTGGACTGGTACTGCTGTACATACCAAGATTCTCCGGGGTTTCCATTGGTGCAAGAATATCAAGTACCACCCGTGCTATATGCTACACATGTCCGTATAATATAGGAAACATACATCATCTCGTTAGCGTCTCCGCTCTGTTAGCGATATTGCTCGTGAAACTCCATCTCCTGTTGGCGCTTCTGCACCGTTTCAATCGTCTTGACATCGTATACCTCCTCCAGCTTCTTGCCACCCAGAAGCACTTCCTTTTCATGGCGCGTAGCTTCATCTTTGGTCATACACACTAAATCCTTCAACTCAAGCGGAACAAATGTCTGTCCCTGCTTCATCCACTCCGGATCAGGTCCGAATCCTCTGTCAGGGCGCTTCCAGGGAACGAGACTGATTCGACTGGGCAGGCCACTGACCACACTCTTGCCGCGGAAGATCTCATCGACCAAATATCCAACATCATCCTTGCTGATAGGAAGGCGAAGCCCGACAAGGCTAGGTCCATACTCCGCCCGGGCCAAGCGCTCGAGCGTTCCCTGCAAGGCTGCCAAGACTCCATCGTACAACTTGTCACGACCCTTTCCACCCACGCTGTAGTCCATCGGATAGCCGGAGATATCGCAGATGACGTGATTCGCCACGGTGTAGCCAAACACTGCAGGCATTGTTCCCAACACAGGGAGAATTCGCGCCCGGAAATCGGGCAACACACTAAGCTCACCAACCTCACCCTTACTAAACTCTGCTTCGTTCAATGGGAGAAGAGTAGCTTTTCCAGGGCCGGGCTTCTCAGTAGAGAAAACAACAGGAATGCCTGTATTCACTCCCAACAACTTCAGGCGCCGACGAGTGCTCCGCGACAACGGATCATCCGTGCTGAGTGAGATATCACCGACCGTAACGCGCGTTGGATCTGACTTGCATCCTGCTCCCATTGCCGAAATCACGGGAATTGAGTGTGAATGACAGTAGTGAAGAAGCTCCACCTTGGACGTGATGTTGTCGATGCAGTCGAGCACATAGTCGGGCTTGCGTCCTTTATCATGGTCGTCCCAGGACCAGGGCGCAAGAAGATTGTCGGCGACGGATCCCCCGAATAGTTCGTTCCGGCAGTCGAATTTCACCCATGGTGTGATCTGCTCCAGTCTCTTGCGAATGCAATGTACCTTCGGCGTTCCGACGTCGGCCAGCGTCGCAAGAGCGTGTCGGTTCAATGAGGAAAGCGTAACCTGATCAAAATCGATCAAGCGGATCTTGGAAACACCCGAGCGGGCAAGGGATGCAACGGCATGCGACCCGACTCCTCCGCATCCGACCACGATTATGTATGACGAGCGGAGTCTCGCGAGACCCTCATCAGATAGAAAGACACGGTTTCTGGCGAGTTGTTCGAGGATGAGCTCTAGACAGAGATTGAGTTAGCATAATGGCAAGTATCTCAAAAAGTAGCCAGTACCATCGTCATAGTCTCCTTCCTGCGCCCTCCGAGCAAGAAGCGCACTCCTTTCATCTTCCTTGCTCAGCTGCGTTGCAGCCGCGACACCGTATTCTGTGAGCTTCTTATGGATTAGCCAAAACTAACATACCACGATCAGAAGATCCTAGAATACCTTCTCCGCATGGTGTTGGTTGTTAACATCCGGTATGGACGCCTTGAGGCGCTGTACTGCTTCCTTCCGTCTGAATGCCTGGTAGCCAAAGATCGCACCTGCGACCGCAGCTCCCGAAATCACGGCTGTAGCTGCAAGTTGTGTCTGATGGGATCCACCCTGGCGTTGGATCCAGGACGCCATCTTGATGTGTTTTTATATTGTATGCGCCGTCTCGTCTATATGCGATCCGAAATTGATTGTGGATACTCCGATTGAAATGTCGCGGCGATCTATAACAGGTTTGACAGTCTCTCACGCCGAACAAATTAGTATGCAAAAGGCGCTCAAAAGCCAATTCCTCCGAACGGGAAAACTCAACATGATAAGCTCAAAAAGCAGGGAAAGACTGTGCTGGACGAACGGTTACGTATTTCCAAGTGGGACCTCCAACACGGGTCACGTGCGCTTCGTGTCGACTACAGAAGCACGCGCTATTCCCGCGGAACTGCACACCACATGTATCTAGATATAGATCGCTAGACTCGACTTTACATTATTCATAGCTGATTTTATCACTTCTCTGGATGGCACTTTCCTACTCCCAATGACAATAACCACGCACGAAGTGCTTTCTCATGACACCTGTTCAAGAATTCATAGGCAGTAAACTTCATCCTTCGGGGGAGACCGACTGGAGGAAAATGTCTGATTAAGTGCAGATGATTGAGACTGGACAGAGAAATAAGAGACTCAAAGCTGCTTCTTAATCCGTATACTATATATTCCCCTGTTCTTTGGCACCAACAAACCAGCAATGCCTCTTTCCTAATATTATCAGATGGGGCCGTATCCTTATATTCGGGGATAGCCTGCTTCGCTCAACTCGCTATCACATATTACTTTTACCTCCTGAAATACTGACCAAATATATTTTTCTTATTGATGTAGGCTTCAACCATGATGGCATCACAAAGGGGTTCACGATACCTAGTTGCCCGTTCCTACGACACAGGCGGCGGTCATTAAGATACTTATGCTCATTCGTTTTATCATAGAGTCTATCAGTGCTAATGTGCAGTCAAGAATATCAATGTTGTCTATATACAATTTGAAAGTAAGTATCCACCCCCGAAACACCGTGCCAAACACACTGAATTCAATCGGCAGGAGAAATTGGGATACCCTCTGGTGCCGCCTCCAGAGGGCCTTGGGGTTTCTGCCGAGGCGGCCAGTTTGGCGCTGGGTAGCTGAGCAATTTACATACGTCCTGTCGACCATCATTAGCAACAAGAACACACCAAATAGGCAGGAGGAATGAACAAACCCTTCGTTTCCGCCGGAAATCATCGTAGAGCTTCTTCCAAATCTCACGATCCTTGCACCCACTCTCATGCATCGTACCCGGCTTGACCTTACACTTGGGCAGCATGTCGGCCAGCAATTCCTGCGGCCACATCACCCACGGCTTGGGCAGCGGCCAGTCAGAGAAATGGACCAGCTTCGCCTCCGCTAGTACCTTTTCCGGATCCCACTCTTCGTGCTCATTACCCAGGAACGCCCGGTGGTCGTCTTTGCGAAACTCACCAGTGACCAGTCCATACTGTCGGTGCGGCAGAACCAACGCCGAATCCGCGTACCGCTCGTTCATCAGTTCCATATCGTATCTAACTCGCGAGCTGACGTTCGAGTCGACCTGTCCGTACGAAATGGCCTGAGCCTTATCCATCAACGCATACCACTCTTTGTAGGACGGCTGGAGGACGATTAAGAGAGACGAAAGCTGCTTGATATCAGGCAGTTCCCAGTAGGCGCGGGGCATAGCGACTTGAGAGGGTGGCAGGAAGAACAATTCGTCCATGTTCTGTAGGACGCTAACGTCGGAGTCGATGTGAATGACACGTTCGAATTCGGTCTCTCCAAATGCAAGCAGCTTGGAAATGCTCTTGTCCCAGGATTCGCTTGGTCCTATTCTTCCTGCATTAGCTCCTGACGCCGTCGGCAACTCCACCGTTGTAATAAATGACCTACCCGACCCAGCCTTAACCATCTGAACATCAATCGGCACCAACATCACATTGTATTTCTCCCTGGCCATCGCCAGCAGCTGGCTGTCCCGGTCGCGATCGTCATCTACCAGCACATCCCAGTCCTCGGGGTAAAAGAGCACCCGCTGCGCTCGGCTGCCAAGGCGTTGCAGGGTATCGAAGACGATAAGTGCATTGCACAGGTATGGGCTCGACGTCGCATACTGGCTGTAGGCGTAGAGCGACCAATCGACTCGGTCGTAATCAATATGAGGAAGGGCCGGCGACGGAGGTTTCTCTCGTCGCTGAGATAGGATAAACAGCACGAAGACGAAAATGGCGAGCCAGGCCCGCGGGCTTTTGAGATAGCGGAGCTGACGTTTGATGATGGACCAGCAGGGCTCATCGGGAATGTCGAAGAAGTCGGCTTCGGAGGCGTCTGAGCCCCGGCGATAGGGTAAGACGGGGCCTTTCTTGCCTGCCATTTTGAGAAGAGAGGGATCAATTGAGGGGAGAGGACATCTTTAGACAATGGTTGACGGGTGTTCACTGTCATCGATTACTACTCCGCCATCTTCAGGGAGGCAATCGCCGCCATGATCTGGAGTAATTGTGCTGGTTGTGCTGGCTTTGTCAGCTATCCTACGGATAAAAATAACGCCCAATCAGATCCAGTTGGTTCCAGACCCCAGTGGGAATTCAAGTTACTTAGTAATTACTGTGACTCCGTAGCATTAGTCAGCATGTGCACATTGTTCGTGAAAGACACAGACGCAGTTTATAGAGATTAAAGAGAAATAAAGAACAAGCAATTTGCTATTTTGACGTAGTTGGGTTTGAGATATTCTTGATACTTGATTTATCACTCGCTCGGCGCAGCACGACCCTTTTCACGCAATCCGGCTGGGAATTTACGACACCCGCCGAGAGATTACTCCGGAGGACCAAATCTCTCCACCCACTCGTCCGTCTGTCTGTTCCCCGTCGCCAGTATGGAGCTTTCCCGCATTATCCTCGCCATCGCCGTCTACCTTGGTAAGCCATACAGACAGTCTCCCGTCTGCCTGCTTACTGACTCCGTACAGTCCTCCGCTTCATCCGTACTCGCTTCTTCGGCAACAACACCGGATCCACCATGTCTCACGGAAAGGTTATTGAGGTTGATAAGTGAGTCTTCCCAGCTCTGCTCCGTAAACTGTAAACTGAGAACTGACCGGTCTAGCCCTGTTATCTTCAAGGCGCTTACCTCCAACGGTCCCGTGGTCGTCGACTTCTTCGCAACCTGGTGCGGTCCGTGCAAGGCCGTCGCGCCAGTGGTCGGCAAGCTCAGCGAAACCTACACCAATGTGCGCTTCATTCAGGTCGACGTTGATAAGGTCCGTTCGGTGGCACAGGAACTGGAGGTGCGCGCTATGCCCACTTTCGTCCTGTACAAGGATGGCCAGCTGCAGGAGAAGCGCGTCGTGGGTGGAAACATGAAGGAGCTGGAGGCAGCCATCAAGGAAATTACTGCATAAGAGGGTAATAATAAAGGAAGATAGCCGAGCCCGCAGAAATGGGAAGAGAAATAAATAACAAGCCCCAGTCCAGGTGATGATGGTGGACTCGATGATGTATCCTTGTCTGTTCAGCACTAGCATGGTCACTATAGCGGGAGGACAGCTGCGGACTATCTAGCCGCACGCAAAGCCTCCAATCATCCCATATTTGCATCTATCATTTGTCTCTCTGTTATTGAGGCTACTAGGGGCCGGAGCCGCCGGCTGGTAGCTGAAATGAAGGCGGAATTTCTTCGACGTGAGATTGATGCGGGACGTGAAGCGTGATATGCCTGCGGGGCACGACACTGTTCCGTCGGCGGGACGACACTTTTGAGAGGCTACGGAGGGCTACGAGAGGCTACGAGGGACGACATGCAGCGGTATTGAATGCAGGAGGAAGACATGTAGTACTCAGATTATTTAACTATAGCGGTGGGATTGACGGCCAAGGCAGGCACGCGACGCTGCTATGTGAATGGTTAATGACCTAGGCGCCGCAACGGAGTAAGGAACAAAACAGACAAGCAATCAGGTGCGACCCTGTATCTAAAGGTCTATTGTTCAGTGTTGTATAGCTAGCTGCGGCGATAACTTCTTCATGTGTTTACGGCGATTGAAATTTAGGTGGGTTTGACGTCGTTTATGGTCATATTGTTGCTTCAGCCGGTGAAGCGTCTGCATAGCTAAACATCTTACATAGCGAGTTCAACCGGGTATAGGAATAAGAAACGAATTAAATTGTAAAAGTCTTTGCCCGCGGGTATCATCGGCACTCGAATTAATCAAGCCAGAAACCAAGAAAATCCTCGAAATGAACGTAATCAATCAATCCACTCCTGCTCGAAATCAATCAGTCGTTCCCCAATTCGCCAAGAAAAGAAAGAATCGCAATGAGACTCTAATTGAAAATGAACAAAGACCAGGCCATCAATAACCCACTGATGGGGTTAAATGAACCGGCCCGTCAATATCATGAGACGTCGCCAACAATCATGCCCAGTTTCCCAATAACGATACTGAACGGGCAAAAGTAAAAATCACGACCCTCGCTGTCACAACAGAAAACTCAGCTCGTCTTCGCTATCATCGTCCGAGCACGGAATTATCCGCTCGACTGGGGGAGGTCGCGTACGAGTGGAGCGTCGAGGACCCTGCATCTCCGATGGACTGGAAATCAGTGTTGGGGGTGGTGGCTGTTGTTCTTGTTGTTGCCGTGCCATACTGGGAGTCCGAATCAGCGGCTTCACCGAGACGGGCTGGTTGATGATAACCACCTCAATCAGGGGAGTCACTTTGGTAGGGTCCGCCCGGGAGTTGCTGGGTGTGATTGGGCCCGATTGTAGTCCCGTCTTCTTCAAGGCGCTGTTCTTGGCCTGGGGTAGATCGCGAAGGGCCGCCCGCGCCCGGGTGGCTATCGGTGCAGAATTGGGTTCGAGGGAACCAGCCGCAGCCATCCTCCTCGAACTTGACCGAAGTCTCTTGGGTGACGGTGGCCTCCAATCATTTGTCCCACGTTCGCGTTTCCAGCTCATCGATGGCGCAGATGATGTCACGCTGGATGCAGCCTCCTCCGAAGGTTCAGGGCTGGGCGACTTGCTACTGATCGAACAGGCTATCGCCGCTGGTCGCCGCTCAGCTCTCGCAGCCGCAGGGCTTGAAGCGCCGTCATTACGGGGAGCCACGGGTTTGGCGACCGGCGTGCTGGCTACCCATTCCCCAATGCTTTCTTCCCATCGATACAGGCGGATCACATCGGTTTGTGGCACACGCGCCAATGCGGCAGAGTGATGAGCATTTCTATCTTGCTGGGATGAAGCGGCTTGTTCTTGGATTTCGAGAGCCCACGCGTGGTCATCCACATCCAATGTAACCTCCGCCAGCGCCATTGCTGTTTCCGCAGCCACCTTGGCGAGGAGCAGAGAAATGCCCTTCATCGTCGTCACCTGCGCAAGCCGCCATACGATCGCTCGAATTTTCCGAGGTGTCCTCGCAAGATCATCTTCGCGCTCATGGCCGCAGCATCGAAAGACTTGTTGGACAAAATCCGCTAGTTGCTTGATTGCATTCTCTTGATGTACCAACGATAGACAAAGCGATTCTAAGTTTTCTGGCGAAATGGCGTCGGACTGGCCAATGACCTCGGGCGTGCAATTTTCACTGCACTGCAGCGTCCACTCACCCAACAAGATGTATCCCCGACGCAGGGAGTGGAAGCTTGGACCCTCCATCTCACGCCGCGATAGTACCAATCCGATCGCCCGTTGCACCCCGAAAGACAGTGCCTCAACAATATGCCTGACCTTCCTGCCTGTCAACTTGTCATTGACGCCAGAGGTTTGCGTCCGTGCCATATACATGCCACAGAGTGCGGTAATCAGACTCGCTGAAAGATTGCTGAGCGCATCCTGGATGGGAACAGGGCATGGAGCTTGGTCTTTAGGCACGCTTGTAGGCTTCGTTACCGACGCACGGGTGTCCTTTAAACGTACAGACCGAGGTACCTTTCTCCCCTTGCTCCGAGCTACCAGCGAATCCGTGGCGGGGTAGATACCAGCAGATGAGAGGATGATAGCCTCGATAGTCCGGGTCGCAGCAGCTGAATCTTCGTCGCCAATTGACAGTGACCGGATAGCCCCGTCCACGCACTTTTTCCATCTTGTGGTGACCATCCACTCTGGCGGAAAAGCCCCACGAGACAGGAGCTTTGTCATCTCATCAAAAATAAAAGATCTCCTTTCAGGGGCCTTGGAATAGTAATTGCGCAGTATGTAGATAGGATTATCGCAGTGGCCCGCAGGTTTCGAAGGGTCAAAAGCCGTTGGGTAGTCGTGTGTCTTGACGGTCGTAAGATATCGTGATATAAGTGTTTCGAAAGCATCCAACTCCCTGTGCTCAAGACATTGCTCTAGCAAGCGACAGGCAGCCAATTTGGGTACCCATTCTCTCTGCATCATCTCCGAAATCAGATGGATGCCTTGCGCACGCACAGCTTCACGAAGCGGCTGCCATCCACCGCCGCCAGGAGCATATTGAGCTTCAAGTTCGGTAAAGTATGCATCACACATATCAACATCCTCATCCGGCTCCGCCTCATCCTGCAGGCGCTGCTCCTCAGCAATGAACTCCGGAAGCCGTCGCGCAGCCATAGACAGCAACGATCGGGCACCGCGACCCTCCTGTTCATGTTTGTGTATCGCCGGAGCGGGCCTAGTATTCTCCAAAAACTTAATAAGCATGCGATCCAAAAAGCGCGCAATATCCACCAAGCCCGGATCCCCCGATAGATCCAAAACCTCCTTCCATGAGCCCTGGTATGCTGGAAAACTGGGTTTATTCGTCCGCGACTGCCTGCGCCGCTCGTTGGCCCCGACAGCACTCACTGGTGGTATGGGATTCCGAAAAAGCCGTTTGCGAATAGATAATGTCGCTTCCGCCGGTCCTGGCGCAGTTCCTGTGATCAACGGGGTCGCGATTTCGATAGCGCCAGGCAGCGTCCTCTGCACTTCCGGGCTCTTAATCAAGAGTCGACTGCGTCTCCGAGCGCCATTCCTCTGACCGCGATTCGAGTAATTATGCCTCGGCCGGCGATTTCCCCGGTTCCCTGGAATCCATGCTGGATCGTCGGGTTCCTCGTCTGAAAGATTGCAGCCTGATTCTGGACCGGTTTTCTTGTTATTTGGTTGGAGTCGCAAACGGTCGGAATCGTGGTGATCGGGTTTGGCTTTCGATTTTGTGTCTGCTATGCTGTTGCGAATCTCATAGTGTTTCTGGAGTCGGTGGTGGATGGATGTCAACGGGCGCAACATGCGGTTCGCCCATTTCGCGGTCGGTCGGATATCCTCCATGTTGCGCCAATTGCGTCGCGGGTTAGCGCTAGTACTCGCAGGAAGCTCCACGCCCGTAATGAGGTGTAATCCAAAAGAGGCGCATCAGAACTGGGCTTGTCGTGGTTGTTGATGTCTCATAAATAGTGATCTATGTCATCGGATGTCGCGAGCGAAACACGGCGAGGTAACCAAAACTACTAACTGACAGAGTGCGTGGAGGCACCTAGATACGTCCGGAATCCAATATAACTCTGTAAAATACAGATATACAGCTAATCACCACCCCACGGACCCAGAATTCGGTTGCAAAATCTGAATTGAAGTAAGTGTGAATTCGAGATGTTGGGAACTGAAGTCACCAAAAGAGAGTTGCGCAGACACGCGATTCTGCCGCCTGGACGGAGTTTGGCCCAATGAGATAGGACGGCTAAGGTGACCGCCTACCCACTGGAACTCGGAACAGTCAGGAATGAAACAAACAAACAAACAAACAAACATACTACGTACAAAGTACTTACTATCTACCTGTAAGAGTAGGGCTTCACCTACGGGGGCATACTTATCGCGGATCCAAATCAAGTAACCAACTGCGGCATGTCAAGTGAAACTACGGAGTAGCTTTGGATCATTCACTCCCTTTCACCCCATGCATTGCCCCGTTTCGTGTCTTTCCCTAGCCCCGTCGATCCTTATCCTTTTTGCTTCTTTAACCCCAATCTCCCCACCATGCTTCTCCGCACTCTTCATTCGCCCTCACTCTGAGTGTCGATACCAATTTCACCATGCTACTTCCTCGTCTCTGGCTGGCGTGCCTCACGCTGCTCGTGGCTGGGGCCGCTGCCGTCAAGGTCAATCCCTTACCAGCTCCACGCAACATCACCTGGGCTTCGTCGGGCCCTAAGCAGCTGGCCGGCTTCGTCAGTCTCCGTGCTTCCCAGGACACGTCTGATTTTATTCTGGCCAGTTAAGGGGACCGTGCTTGGGATTCTATCGTCTCCCTGCAATGGGTACCTGCAGCGACCGAAGGTCCCGTGCCATCTTTTCAACCCTTCCCCACCGGTACGGCCGGGGTCGCTAGAAGGTCCTCGCAGGCACTGCCATCGCTCCAATTTGTCGATGTGAATGTGTTGGATATTGGCGCAGATCTCCAGCAAGGGGTGGACGAGTCTTACACCCTCGAAGTCACCGAAAGTGCTACCTCGGTGGTCATTGAGGCTCCCACCGTGTGGGGGGCGCTCCATGCCTTTACCACTCTCCAGCAGCTGGTCATCTCCGACGGACAGGGGGGCTTGTTGATCGAGCAGCCCGTTAAGATTCAGGATGCCCCGCTCTATCCCTACCGAGGAATTATGCTTGATACTGGTCGAAACTTCATCTCGGTCAACAAGATTTACGAGCAGCTGGACGGCATGTCCCTTTCAAAACTCAACGTTCTACACTGGCACATGGAAGACACCCAATCGTGGCCCATAGAGATAGATGCCTATCCAGAGATGATTCACGATGCATACTCCCCCCGCGAAGTGTTTTCGCACGCTGACATGCGCAATGTCGTGGCCTACGCGCGAGCGCGTGGCGTGCGGGTCATCCCAGAGATCGATATGCCCAGTCATTCTGCTTCCGGGTGGAAGCAGGTCGACCCCCAGATGGTGACCTGCGTGGACTCCTGGTGGTCCAATGACGATTATTCCCTGCATACCGCGGTAGAGCCTCCGCCCGGCCAGATGGACATTATTTACAACGGCACGTACGATGTCGTCTGACAGGTCTACAACGAGCTGTCCAACATCTTCCCAGACAACTGGTTCCATGTGGGGGCGGATGAGATCCAGCCTAACTGTTTTAACTTCAGTAGCTATGTTACCGACTGGTTTACGCAGGATCCGTCGCGCACCTATAATGACCTGGCCCAATACTGGGTCGACCATGCCGTGCCAATTTTCCAGAACTACAGTGCCTCGCGGCGATTGGTCATGTGGGAAGATATTGTACTGTCAACAGAGCATGCGCATGATGTCCCTACGAACATCGTCATGCAGACCTGGAACAACGGGCTGGACTACATCAACCAGCTGACCGCCAAGGGCTACGACGTGATTGTATCATCGGCGGATTTTATGTATTTGGACTGCGGGATGGGGGGCTTCCTAACGAATGATCCTCGCTACGATGTAATGAGTAATCCTGATGCAAGCACACCAAACTTCAACTACGGCGGCAACGGGGGCTCGTGGTGTGCGCCGTACAAGACATGGCAGCGCATCTACGACTACGACTTCACGCAGAACCTCACTGTTACCCAGGCCCAGCACATTGTAGGAGCAGAGGCGCCGCTCTGGTCAGAGCAAGTGGATGATGTTACGGTATCCAGTCAATTTTGGCCGCGTGCCGCTGCGCTGGCAGAGCTGGTGTGGTCTGGGAATCGTGATGAGAACGGGCGGAAACGCACGACGCTGATGACCCAGCGCATCCTGAACTTCCGCGAGTATCTGGTGGCCAACGGGGCTCAAGCGCAAGCGTTGGTTCCTAAGTACTGTGTGCAGCATCCGCATACCTGCGACTTGTATCTAAACCAGAGTGCGATTCAGTAATCAGGCTGGGAACAACAGCTGGCAGCGTAGCATTTAACGTGACATATGGGATCGATGTGTAGGTGACCTGAATTGCTTGCGATACTGTCTAGTACTGAAGATATTTGTTTGACATCTACGTTCATTATCCCAGTAGAACCTGAAATGTACGAATATCACAATGTTGCGTGAGTTCAGCCTCAGGCTCTCAAATTGGTCCAATTGGTCCAGCAAACTGAGCAGATATGTCACTTGCTCACATGTAATCCTCACTCAAGCAGAAACGTAGCAGATTGCATGATACGGGAAATCTTTGCAATTTAATGAAAGATGAAGGCAAAAGTCATAGTAGAATAGGAACGAAATGGCCATGAGTAGGGGACTCAGACGGATCTAAGCCAATTTTTGGGAGGACTACATTATCATCTACTGAACAATAACACTTGGCGAGAGGCTTTTCTGTTCGGTTACTGTAACGATCATTTACTTCTGCTTGTTCTTTACGTCCCTCTCCACGTCTAAGCCCACAATATATAGTGGCTTTGATATGCAAAATTTTTACTGTAAAAGGAGTAGTCCCTGCATTCAAGTTCCAAGAAACTTGACTTTTTTATCCAGAGTAGTCACCCTCTGAAAGAACATTGTATTCCTTAGAACTTCCGAAGGGCACACTGATGAAGGGGGTGGTCACATGACCCAAGGTCACCACATCGTCTTCCTGGCTCCGCGATGCTTTCCTCTGGCATGAGGTTCGAGCCAACCGATCGCCTCCATAGCTGATAGTAACAAACGGCGTGTATGACAGTGTAACGGGCAGCGAAGGTGGGAAGATAGTTCAATACTGCTTCCTGAATTTATGCGGGAACCGGTGGACCCCCCTAGAGTGATCGACCTCGGAATAACACCCGTCTGCAACCATATTCTAACGACAGGAGAACCTAATTTCAACCTCAGGGCTAGTTTACTATCTTGTCGATGAGACAAATCTTATTTTTGACGACCTACCATCTTCGAGGACAGCGGAACAATCGCATCTGCTCACAATCAATCCGATGGCGCAGTCCGTTGACTTGACTCACGCGACACCCAACCACATCCCGTCAATTGCCAGACCTTTGGCACCTTACATCAAAAGCCGCCAAGATGCCCTATTGATCCGACAAGCCTTGACCATTTACCTTCGTTCGCATATCGAGTTCGCAGAAAACAATACCGAACATCCAGGATGCCACAGCCAATCCCATCTGTCGTTATCAGTGCCGCACGAAGTGGTGGTCGATGTCAAGCGGATTCCATCGGAGTTGACGGGGTTGCGAAAACAGTACCTGGAAGCGCTCAAATTGAACGTGGCTGCGAGGAGGGAATACCAGTCAGTTGTGGAGAAGGCGACTTCTGTGAACCCAGAAAGGGGCATGACACGGGCGGAAAAGTTACCCGTGGATTCGTCTTCGGAGTTACAGGAATACCTGCGGCTTCTCCGTGACCGTCGTCGGCATGCAAAGCTCCAGGTTTTTGAACACTACATTCAAGAGCTCAAACAACGTGATACGCCAAAACCAGCAGATCTAGAAGATAGTGGAACTCATTATCAGCAGCTCGTGCCACCACCAGACTTCGAAGTTACCCAACATGGCGCTACAACAGGGCTTACCGTCGAAGAGCTAATGCATAACCTGGAAAAAGCCGTCATCCGCGCTAAGGCTCAGCTGGAGAGAGAGAAAGGGTTATTAGAAGAACTTCAGGCGCAACAGATGCCCGTTGGGGCCCAAGATATCCCACGCGCAGTAAAGGGAATGGCGTTACAGCGAACTCGAAATGAGCTGGTGCGTTGGGTGGAGGAGAAACTGGTAAGTGCTGGGAACGATGAGAACCGTGTAGCCTCTCAAGACTTCCGTTCCGAGGACATGGATGAGTCTGTGCGTCTGCTCGGGGAGAAGAAGGCACAGATCGCACAACAATACACTGCATATGCGGATGCTCGCAAGCGTCTGCTTGATGCCGCCTCCAGAGCTTGCCAACCAGTTACTCTCCCGGCCGGAAAGCCCCCATCACGGCCTACTAGCTTAGTGCAGGGAAAGAATGCATCAGAGGAAACACAATCTCTGGATGCATTGGGAGTCCTTACTTTTGCTAGCGATGTCCTCCAGCCGTTGGCCAGGAGCCAGCGGGCATTGGCACTGCAGAAATCCTACCTGTCGGGTATGCTCGCGAAAGAAAAAGACACAACCCTTCGCATCCTGAGCAGGCTGCGAGATGAAAGTCATCTTCTCCCAGAGTACCCGATTCTGGCACGCCAGCCGCGGTTTAAACATGCAACAGCAGCTTCGGCTTCGCACCAGGCCACGGGCACAGAATCTGCCAAGCCAGACCAACTTGTTGGTCTGGCCGAGGCATGGGCATCTGCTTCGGATGCAGCAGGGATGACTGAACAAGAATACGTAGGGTACCGACTGGAGGAAGGGATGGAGACAGCGCAGGATGCACAACAGGTGCTAGAAGATGTCTACAGTATACTTAACCAAAACCTGGAGGATACCTTGTGTGACAGGCAAGGCGGATCGGGCGAGGACAGTATCGGGGCGTTGGGGGCACGATTAACTCGGTCACGGGCCAAAATGCAGCAGAGCCAACAGTCAGCAAAAGGCCCATGGAGTGGGCTACATGGTCAAGTGGCCGTTGGCAGATGATCTGTGATGACGAGCAGCCACTGTTACTACGTGATGTTGTTTCTTGGTCTTGTCTCTTACTCGTAGATTGCTTGTCTTGTGTTATCGCGCCCCGTTCCCCCACGTTCTTCCCTTGCCTGTTAGAAATTTTCGAAAATAGCGCCAATATTACTTGTTTCTCCAACAGCTGTTTCAGTCGTGATTGAGTGATGATCGTTTGAATAAAGAAGGGTTTCACCAAGAAGAGCTGGCCCATCCCAGGATTTAAAAACTCTTCCAGGCAAAAGCGGTGTTACCAGCGAGGGAAGATGGCAGTCCAAGTCAGTATGACCTGATACGCAGATTGGGGTACGCGTTCAATTCATTGCACAGATCATATGGAGCCTTTTCGATAATTTGGGAAGTTCAGTATAGTAACCAATACTATCATTGCAGCATCACACCACTTGTATTCTGTATTATCTATACAATCAGATCAAAATCTAATCAATCGTCCCGCAAAAGAGAAACTGTACAAACGAAACTGGGTATATGAGATGAAAATTTCACAAATCCACACACACCATCCTATGTCCCACACTGTTGTTGAATACGACCATCGTAACCGGGTTAGACCAAATACAAGTAATAGAATAATCCCACTCCTCGAGTTGAAATGAGAAGGATAATAGCAAACAGCCACACAATTATTATATCCCCTTTTGAGCAGCACCGTTATGTCAGATTGACATCCTGGAATACAGAAACATCCCATATCCCTGTCATGTCGAATGGAAAGCCGTCCATCGTGCCGAAGGTCCCGGAGATGCTCATCATATCGTCGACAATATCATTATTTGTTTGTGTCTCCGGAAGGGCGATGGCGGCGGGATTCACTAGTCGATGAGGGTGGGTACTATCCGGAGGCTGGCCGAGGTCTGTGAAGGTGGGCGGATGTTCGGCGCTGGGGTTGGCGCCGGTGCTGTTGTTCAGGCGGTTGAGGAGACGCTCGCAGTGGTCGAGACACATGTCGGCGACATCCCAGTCTTCTTCTTCGCGGACACGGCGAAGGATAGATCGGAAGGTTTCGACGTTGGCTAGGCAGGAGCGGGCCACTTCGGGGTCCGTGGTTTCGAGAGCGCAGCGGACGAGGAGGGTGGCGGTTGTGGTGAGGTGGAAGGCGCTGTCTGTGAGGTTGTTAGGGTCCTATCTTTCTCTTCTGTGGATCATGGGAGACATCTTGGGGGCGCGGCATACATGGAAGCCAGAATTCTTGGAAGTTCTGTTTCCGAAGGGATGAGATGAATTGCACGATTTCTTCGGCGGATCGGCGACACTCTGTTTGGAAGTAGCGGCGCGCCTCCGGGTTGTCTGCCTCGGCGTTGTTGACCTCCTAGGCAAAGTTAGTATTGCCCCGAGTCTAATAGATAAGGCTCAATGGTTCTCACGTTGAGTTCGACACGGCTAACGAGCATCTTCACTGCAAGGAAGCCGAGCTGCAGACTGCTTGTACCAGAGATACGCTCCTCTGTGGTATTCGTGCTGATGGGGTTGCGGAGCCAATCGGGGAGAGAGTCCTCCCACGCGTCGAGATCTGTGCGAATTTGCCGCACCTTCTTCGTCGTTTCGCGGTGGGCTCGAGACTGCAAGCCGTAGACGAGCGGTAATAGCTCGCCTAAGATCTCAGTGAGCCGGCACAAAGCAATGTGGCAGTGGGCAGCTCGCACGCGCTCGGGCGTCCGAGAAGCCTGGGGGATCAGAACGTCAATCGTGGGAAGAGGAACATCGTATTGATTTTTGGCAATCTGCGGAGGCACGCCGTGACCAAAACTCCCCCTGCATTTACGTTAGTGAGACGCCAGATCCATATATGGGCGTAGGTCGGATAGGCTTACCAGCGATCATGGATCACGACGCCCCACCAAAGCCGCATACGGTGGTTCTTCTCGGGGCGGGATAGCTTCCAGTGACTTGGATCGCGGTTGAGTCCGAGACAATGTGCGAGGGAAATCATGCGCCCACAGCTGATGGCATTTCCCGTCATTGAAAAGATGGGCCGACCTGTAAGATCGATGAGGGCTGCACTGACTGTTGAAAGCCCAGGCGCCGAAAATTCCTCGTGGAGCGCAGCGACAGTCATATTGACTGCGTACCGGGCATCTGGCTTCGGGTGACAGGCCAGCTTGGGGGTGTGTTTCCAATAAACTAGCGACATCGAATAGACCTGGCATAAGAGCGACGCTGGCGGATCTCCCGGGGACTCCGACAAGAACGCCTCCCAGAAAGTTTCCCCATCAAAGATCGGAAATGCTGCATTGAACCGGTCGATGAACCTGAGAAGGAGAATTAGCATGGCGCCTCACACTACCTTCGGGGTCCATTCTATGAGAAAGCGTACAGTCTGACGAGGTCGCGCTTGAATGGGCCGAGGATCTGCTCGAGGATCTCCTTCTGATTCTCCCCGGGAGGAACTCCGACCCGCATACCCTGCCTCCGCCGAGACACTGTAGTGTAAAGAATGGGCTTTCGAGGGTCGCTGGAGTAGACGTTGTATGGCTGACTTTTTGGTTCGACCGATTTGCTAGTCCGTTCGGGAGGCATGTATCTCTCGATAACCTGGGCATCATCGGCCACGACAGGACCAACAATTAGGACCGACTCATTGTGGGGGTCATCGACTCCTTGGCTCCTGGATTCACTCCTCCGACGATCTAAGGCCGAGTCCGAATGTGCGACGCTGGAAGCGCGGCGGCGGCTGGGGTGCGACGAAGAATCAATTGCGTCCGGGGTATGCTTGCGTTTCTGACCTAGCGACGAGACGCGAGTGTGATCGGGGACCCAAGGTTTCGATTCATGGCCATTGGTGAGTGGAGGATCATTATTGGCCTCTTCTTGGTAGTGACAATCCGCTCCTTGGACGCGGCACAACAGGCATGATTGACCCGGGATGTCAACGGTGCACCGCGATTTGCGCTTCCTGCACAAGTCGCAGGCCCTGACCTTGTGTGACCGGTATGGTCTGGCGCCAGCATTAAAACCCGGGGAAGCCAGCTTCGGCGTGGCAGTGGTGGAAGCAGTGGTCGGCGGCATGATGCGCCCCAGTTATTATTTTCTTTTTTTTATGGTTGGCGCAAACCGGAGATCATAAGCGGTAGCGGTGGTAATTTAATTTCTTCTTTATCGGGCAAGTGTGACAGGTCAGAAGCCCGGACTAACACCGAGAGGTGAGTAAGTAGTAGGATTTAAGATCGGGAGGAGCTGCAAGATGATCGGTGAGTTGCAAGAGTGATTGTGCCTAGTCAAGTCATTCATTCGTCGGACCCGGCTAGATCGCAAGGCCGAGGGACAGCATTGAGATTCTTGGGGCTGGGAGGGGGAGACGGGGGAAAAGAGAGGGGAGGAGGGGGGGGAGGAGGATGGATGCTAATCGCGAGAAAGCGCTGATAAGTGCATAGTCATTGAAGAAACCACCCCACACAGTTGATTGAAGGATGGAAGAAGCAAGCAGCTCGGTCTGGCTGGTGGCCGAAGATCTCCTTGCGTTTCTGGAAGCGCGCGCGCGATCGAAAAGGGCCAGGAGAGATTGCCGAAATTCTTGCTTGTCTTATCGGAATCTGCTAAAAATCCCTGTGGGGGGGAAGGAACGTCTCAGTCACGGCTGAGTCAGCCAGGGTGACCAACCACGTGCTGCCGATTGATGTACTGGCGTGTACTGGCGTTCCATGCAAGGCACTAGTCCGCTTTGGGAGGAGATCCTCGGCATCCTCATCTTTCCTCCACCATCAGACAAATAGCCTCCATAGCTGGTAGACCTTGCATGAGCGAGCTCCATCAGCCCAGTGAATTGATTGATTACTATTGCCTTTACTTTATTTTATTGTCGGCTCTTTGTGGCCCTTTAACTGAATACTTCAACGGCCACAGGACCAACACTACGGAGGAATGGAGTAGTAGGTCCTTGATAACTTAGTAATGGACATCAGGAAAATGGGTATATACATATGTCAAGATTATGTCCAAGCAATCGAATTGATCAATCCACAACACCGGTGTCATCAGCCCAGCTCGGCTGGATACTGCGGCACACGGCCTCGTAATCCCGAAACTTTTGAGAATCCTCCGTCAGTCCTGGCGTGGTCCAGAACATGGTCCAGTTCATATCGGACAGTTTCCATGTCCCCTGCGAGCGCTCAAAGTACCACTTGTTCACGGGATTGTCCTTGCGGCTGCGCCAGCACACGCCGTTCGGGAAACAAGAGCGGACCATTGCATTGAAGACGATGTCCGCCACACCACCAGCACCTTGACTACGTTTCAAAACGGCAAACTTGTCCAGATAGGGAACCATGCGAGCTTGGCTCGCCTCACTCCCATCATCTTCCACGCCGGGAGGGAGCTCCCAGGTCAAGATGGCGCCTCCCTCATACTCCCCTGCAATGATAAGTCCGGCCAGGCGACCGTTAACTCGATTGAGGTAGTCTTGTACGTCGAGTTTGCGATTGAAGGAATCCTCGATCAGATGGACCAGTCGCGGCAGGTCGATCGAGGGATCATCGAGTCCCAGACGCGGCCGATCTTTGGCCGTCCAAGGTGAAAGCCAAGGATTGGGGATGATGGTCAGCGGCATGCCTCGCTTGACAAACGTGGTATGCGAGGGCTGTGTAGCGATCGAGTCCCGTCTGCCATTTAGGGCTGCGCGTCGGCTGAGGGGCAAAGAAGACGAGAGCAGAGGCTTGTCGGTCAGAAGATTATGGATAAGCGGGTTTCTCTGTCTTCGGGTTCCAACAGCTGATACATCTGGACTAGCGCCTCCAGGGCTCTGTGCTGAATTTGCAACTTCGAGTGGGGAAGTAATGATACTAGACGACGCCGAGGGTAGCATCGCCAGTGCGGCTTGGCTTAGTCGCAGGTTGTTTATATGACCCTCCACCATGCTTGTACCCAAGGTTAAGTCCGATGAGTAAGCTTTCTGACTAGGAGGCACTGGGACGACTTCCGTATCGGCGAATTTGGACAGAGGGTTGCTATCAGCGATAGACGGTAAACCTTCTTCCGGAAGATTATTCTTTGCAGATGCTGCTGACTGCCACACCCGCAGCAACTCGTTCTCAATGTCATCAAATTCTTGTTCCATATTGATGAAAACATGGGACGTCTGAGGTCCACTGAAAGCAGGAATCCCGCCCAAAGGGTCCAGGAGGATGACTCGATCCAGAGAAACTTCCTCCTGCAGGCCCGCGATCCGTTGGGCCGTCCGTATGGGATCTTCATCAGGGTCGGGATTTGTTGCCAGGCCGGCCAGCTCTTTGGTGAGGGCCAAGATGGCATCGCTGGCCGAGACAGTCACTGCCCGAGGAACGTCTTCAGTATAAGCAATGGGGGCCAAGACCACGATGTGACCATCGCGCAACGGCCCTAGCAGTAACTTTCGAGATAGGACTTTAGGCGCCTCAGGGTTCAGCGCAGAAACGGACAGGACAGAGTCGATATGGGCGGATTTCGAGTCCGGCTGGGCATCCACAGCCGTTGAGATGCGATCTGCCTGCTCGGCCGCGATCCTCCGCAGTTGATTAGAATCGCCTGCTGTACCTGGGTCGACTACCACACAACAAGCCATTCCCAGACGATTCAGCTGCGATAGGGTTTTGGCCACGCCGTTGACCGTCGAGTCATCGAGAAGCTGCGGAGTGGTTATTTTGACCAGGGCCAAGTGCAGGCGCTCAGACACATCTTGAAGGGGAGGTGTTGGGGTTGAGTCATGTCTGAAGACGGGGCTGTCATAGACCGATCGGGAGGCGCCATAGAACGAGGTTGAGCTGGCACCCGACGACACTGGTGCTGCTGCTTCCGCTACTCCGGGTTGCTTGGCGGCCGGCTTCAGGGGAGGAGTTCCTTGGTGTTGAGCTTTGAGACGGGCCAAATAAGATTTGGCCTCACGCTTGGTCGAGGCGGAATTCAACAGGCTGAGGAAGAATTCCCGGTCCAGGAGCTTCTCCTTGGCGCGGCGACCTAAGCGATCCCAACTCTTGCTGCTGGAGGAGAACTCGGCACTCTGCTGCACTTGCCGACCGGAAGCCGAGGAAAGACATCGACGCGGGGCACTGCCACTACTACTAGTACTACTGCTGCTGACGGCGGCAGCGGCAGCAACACCGCTGCGTTGCAAGTGTGTTGATGTGGTCGATCGCAGCCCGACCAAGGTCCTGGAGCTCATAGTTTCGGACCTGGAGGTGACTCTTGAGGATGCGTCGGTCTGTAGATGGAGAGGTGGCCATCGATCGACTGGGCTGAAAAGCGCTAGGCAGCCACGTGACTGACACTAGGACCTCCGATGGAGCCCGACATGTCATGGACATCAGTCACGTGAAGGGTGTGTGTGTGTGTGTCTAATACTCTAGAGCAGGATTCATGATCTATTCTTGTCGGACGTTGGCAGTGATGGATTATCTATTTGGTGTCTATCAGCGCGGCTTGCTGGTAGTAAGATCATTATGCACTCTTCATGATTCATAGAAGTCGTGTCACCGGCCTATGGAGTGGCCATCCCCAAAGAAAACATAACACACGAAAGTAGTTGACAGATCCATGCTTACCCACCAATAAGTATCATCGGCCTGTTTTTCATATCTTTCAGTTCCCCCATGCCAGCATGCTTTGCCTTCTTCCTTTTAACCGCTACTCCAATGATATCCAACAACTCCTCCTCTCTCCGGACAAGAGCATCAGATTCCAGCTCCTTCATCCTTGTTTCACTAATTGGTTCCCCGTTGTTTTCCTTCCGGAGGATATCTCGCAAGGATACTTCGGCGTTGCCAAACAAGCATACCTTCAGATTTCCATCACATGTGATGCGTAACCGGTTGCAGGTGCCACAGAAGTTATGGGTCATGCTGGTGATAAACCCGATCTGGCCTTTAAAGCCAGGAACCTGGTAAGTTTTGCTCGTGTTGTTTTTGTGATCCGGCACCTTCTGGAGATCTGGGTACTTCTCCTGGATGGTTGCCAGCATTTCTTGGTAAGAGACCATCTTGCCCTGGCTCCATTTATTGCCATCAAAGGGCATGTACTCAATGAAGCGTATTTCAATAGGGTTGTTTCGCCCTAATTCGATAAAAGGGATGATTTCCCGCTCATTGATTCCCCGCATTACCACGCAGTTGATCTTTAACTTGATTCCAGCCCCGGCATGGTTTAATTCAACCACCCGGTCTATACTCTTCATCACCGCATCGAAGCCCTTCCTCCGTGTCATGATCTGGAACTGAAAGGGATCCAATGTATCAAGGCTAAGGTTGATCCCAGTCAAGCCGGCATCAACCATGGCATCGAGTTTGCGGTGTAGCGAGATGCCATTCGTTGTCAGACAAAGCTCACGAAGGCCATTGCGTCGCAGTTCCCCGATCGACTGCATCAGGGGAATGATATCCTTCCGAACAGTAGGCTCACCGCCTGTCAAACGGATCTTGGTCACGCCCTGCGAGACGAACAGCGACGAGAGGTATATAATTTCGGGAGAGGTAAGGAGACGAGCCGGTGGAGATAATGGGACACCTTCCTCGGGCATGCAGTAGAGACAGCGAAGATTGCATCGCTCGGTCACACTGATGCGGAGGTAGTCGTGCTGGCGGTTGAAGGTATCTGTAAGAAATTCCGAGAAAGGCTTCGCGGATTTCAGGGCAGCCCATCGTGGCGGCACGGATTTGGTAGAGGGGGCCGGTGAGGATAGCCTATCTTCGAATCGGGTGGCTGTCGCTATTGCGTTGGTGCTGTGATTCCGGGGGTTCCAGACGGCGAATCGGGCGACGTGAGAAGAGGGCCCAAGTCGGCTTGAAGTAATCATCTTGGCCGAGCTGGCACAAGACAATAGCTTTGGCATCGTGGAAGTGGTCAGGGTAGATTACCCGGTCTGAACTAAGTATTAGATCGCTGGGTTTGGAGGAGAGTAATAACGTCCTCCGCTTCTTGAAGAAGCTGGTTCAAGATGCCGTGTAGTACGGCGGGCATTAGCGGCCATGGAGTAAAAGCTTTCAAAGTCCCTTACCTGCCAGTATAATGGATCAAGACTTTCGTGAGGGGGCGGGTCACTCATCGGAATCACGTGGGGTTGCTTATCTGTCTGGTTTGCCTCCCGCGGGTCCCTTGTTTAGCTTATCTGCGGAGTAGTATTATTAATTCCTTAATTAATGCCCAAAAGATGAAGACTTTGGGGTTCACCATCGCTGATCTTCCGTCCAGTCCTCCAAGGCCACAAACAACGGGAAGCATGAGGCATCAGAAGTAAACTGCAATCTACGCGAATTCCTCATAATTCAGTGCCCAGCGAAGCTCACAGGAAACACATGTATTTACAGAGTATGGCGGGGCTAAATTGAACCCCGAACCCCCACCTCCTGCGAGTACAACAGATACAGGATAGCTTGTTCGGGGATCCAATTAAGATGTCCGCCCCTACTTAAAGTACCTTTGGAACATGCTGAAGAACGGCAGATAGGGTTGTAACAAAAGCAGGTGGAGAAACAACACTGTGATCACGTGAATACTGCCACTCACATGTCGATACGCAGGGCGGTGAGAGCCAGAAAATCTCCCGCCATCTCCGCATTTCCCCAAATCCCTCCGATTACCTCAAATCAGCTGGTCTCTATATCAATCGGCCATCGCGTGTCGATTCCCATGCTGCTTCTATGTCTATAATACTCGGGCGCGTCCCGCGCTCTCTGTCAGTACGGCTGGCTAAGGTCGGATATCGTCAACCCAGAGCAAACGCGACATCTCTGATCCGACTGATCTCCCAAAACGCAGTCGCATCAGCTAGAAGCTCTGGGCTTAACGATCTTCCATCGGCATATACCTGGCTAACAAGAACGCCAGGTCAAATCGTGAGAACTGCTCTCCTTCTGATAATAGTTGCTTTGACTAAGTATTTCAAGAGACACCAGATGACGTTCTTTCGAACGTATCCCCTATCCCAGAGTCCCTCTCCTCGTTAGACTATGTACCCGTCCTCCTAATCACTTCTGCATTCGCCCACTGGATCGACGTATCGTCAAACCCGTTTCTTGAACAATTTATCAACTCTTTATACCCCTCTACACCCAGCCACGAATCTTTAAGACCCGTCCATGCCATTGTTGCCGTGGTCGATAAGTTACCCGACCTCCGCGTCAGGCTCGAAGAGATTGCCGACAGCAAAACCCCATCTGACTCTGATGGCGTGTCGTTGTTGCTGGTGAAGGCAGAAGACATACAGGGAACCATTGCTGTGCCTCGTCGTGTTCGGAGTATGGAAGCTGCAGAGTCCAGTCTGGTCTTCAAACTCCAAAATGACGCATTCTCCAAGGCTTCGCAGAGGTCGACCCATGAACTTGGACTACGTCTTGCCAATACAATATTCATTAACGGCAATGACACCACTCTTTTCGGCACGCGCTGGACCTATACGCCTTCCCAGCAATATACTTTGGAGCAATCCGTAAATCTCTCCAACTGTACGGTGACCTCGGCGGTCGCTTCCGTACAAAACTCATTTAAGCTCCCGTTGTACCCTGTTGGCCAACGAAGGAGAGTTATATCAAGCATGGGAAATATCCTTCGTCAATTGGCAAAGCATACGGATAGTCAATCAACGGAACCAATGCCAGCTTCATCTGAACTGGAAAAGGAACTACCCCGCTACATTGAGGAACACGGCATTGTTGACCGGAGGGTTTCTGTTTGGGCCCTGATTGAGAACTCCGAAAATGGCTTCCATTTGGAAAACAACGCTAATATACAGGAGAGCCTCGTCAAAGCAATCCGCGCAGGAGGCAAACTCCATCGGGTTATGAGTGGCGGCGGTGGATGGGGAAAGAAACAGGGTCTTCTATCTTTAGACCCTGAAACGACCTTTGTTGAAGCAGACAATGAACAGGGGCTCCTGAGTCTGGAAGATCTCTTCGCAGACCAGGAGAGACAACCACTCTCAGATATATCACCTCCGCCGCCTGCGTTCTTTGAGATGCCACAACTTGATGAAAGTATGTCAAGTCTTTCTCAAGCTGCAGGACCGGGTGACTATATCCAGTTTTTTGTCTCCGTAGAATCAGACCATGCTCCGGATTCTCTCAAAGATGGAAGCATGCGGTTGACTTTTGGCATTGTTGCTGATTCCGAGGCCATTCCCAGCTCTTCCGATCGCATGGAGAAGGATCTGGGTGTCGTATCTCAGTTCTTTGGTGCGCTTTCGGAGAAAGCATTTACTTATTCGCAACCTGTGATTGGCACGGGGGCCTCGGATTCCCTAAAATCAAGTGCTAAGTTTGATATTCCCGGATGCCGCGTGGCGTTAGTGATGGAATGATCGACTTCTGTGTGCAATATCACATGTATCAAGGGAATTTCACTCTACACAGGCACAATGCCCAGTCTCTCTACCTCATGGCCTCTTTCATTTCTACAGTCTCATCTTCCTGACCTGGCTGTGTCTACGGCGTTGTACTTCTACCTATCTTAATAAGATCGCGAACATGTTCATCTCCGCCCATACATAGGATATCGATACTGAACTATCGTACAGCCATGTTCTTCCATCAAGGGGACTCAACCACACATGCGCCTAATAGACCAAGACGTACACCATTGTTCTACTAAGTTGCTTTCACAGTGCACCCAGTCAATGACCCCACCATCGCTGTACGCTGGGCCGCGGTACCCTATGCCAGCACTGTCTGGGAGAAATTGTTATTAGAGCCGCTGGCGGCATTGCAGTGGCTGGTTATGACTGATCTCTACCAGACTGCCTTGTAGACAGAGACTCATTGGGTCATATTGTATAAATATTGTAAAGTGCAGATGGTACTGAGGGTCACTATGATCATCTGGTAATATATATGTCACCATGGCATTGAAGAAGCTAGCCTTATAGGCATGTCAAGGGGCGTTGTTGTTCTCGTTGCTTGTATCGGCTTAGTATGCGTAGGTCCAAACCCAGTATCTTTCCCTAGTTCTTGTCTTTCTTTTCGACCATCCATCTCATGAGATCGGCGTAGCTTCGCATGTCACATGCATCACGTGATTTGATCCAAGACAGTCTCCCGCGTTCCGACGTGTCCGATGACCTCATCAGCGCCTCCCGACCACAGTTGATCCGCGTCGTCTATAGGGCGTGAGATTGCTCGTCTGAATCGTCTAAATGATCGCCTAATACGTTTCATCTCATATAACTGTCTATGACGTGTAAACAGTCGGCACTTGGGCACGGCTGTCATAGCCCATAAGTCTGGGACTGCTAGAGCAGCATGGGTGTCCAGGGGCTCTGGACGGTCGTACATCCTTGTGCACGGCCCATCAAATTAGAAACTCTCAACAAAAAGCGCCTGGCTGTTGACGCATCGATATGGATATATCAATTTTTGAAGGCGGTACGCGACAAAGAAGGCAATGCCCTCCGGAACTCTCATATCGTGGGCTTCTTTCGGCGCATATGCAAGCTCCTCTACTTTGGTATTCAGCCGGTCTTCGTGTTTGACGGTGGCGCTCCAGTACTCAAGCGCCAAACTATAGCAAACCGGAAGAAACGGCGCGAGGGTCGGCGAGAAGATGCCGTGCGGACCGCTGGAAAGCTGCTGGCTGTGCAGCTGCAAAGGTCTGCTGAGGAAGAGGCGGCTACCCGCCGGAGGGGGAGAACGGAAAATGAAGAGGAGGTGCCAGACAACCCAGTTTATGTTGGTGATGCTTTCATAACCGAACAGGAAAAGCAGCAGACGCGCTCGTTCAAGAAGAAGGACGCCTACCATCTGCCGGAGTTACAAACCAGTCTTGAAGAGATGGGGGCCCCCAATGACCCTCGTATCATGTCC